AATTTTAATCTTTAATCTTCAATAAATGGTCAATCATTACTAATAAATTATTGAATATAATGTACTTTGCTTCTTCATTTAATAGCTTGCCCCGTTGGCCAAGCAGACGGACATGACCGAGCGTCAGATTGAGCGCTGGTGGCGTCTGCGTCGGGCACAGGACAAGCCATCGACATTGGTCAAGTTCTGCGAGAATACATGGAGATGCATCTATTATCTATATAGCTTTATTTTCGGTGTAATTGTGCTGTGGGACAAGCCCTGGTTCTGGGACGTGAAGAGCTGCTGGTATGGCTATCCACATCAGGTGAGTGTCTGCCACACGATTCGTTAACAATTCCTCACTCACGAATTTATTGAAAATATTTTGCAGTCGGTTAGCAACGATATCTGGTGGTATTATATGATATCGATGTCCTTCTATTGGTCACTGACCGCCACACAGTTTTTCGATGTGAAACGCAAGGATTTTTGGCAAATGTTTATACATCATATGGTCACACTGCTTCTCATGTCCCTAAGCTGGGTATGCAATCTGCATCGTGTTGGCTCCCTGGTGCTGGTCGTGCACGACTGTGCCGATATATTCCTGGAGGCTGCTAAACTGACCAAATATGCCAACTACCAAAAGGTCTGTGATGCGATCTTTGCCATCTTCACAGTTGTCTGGATTGTCACACGCCTGGGTTTCTATCCGCGCATTATCTATAGGTAACACTTAATTTGTCTGATCGATTAAGAACTATCCCCTATCAACAACTTTTTCTTTACCCTTGACAGTTCCTCTGTGGAAGCGCCGCGAATTCTACCCATGTTCCCAGCCTATTATATATTCAATTCGCTGCTATTAATGCTGCTGGTGCTGCACATCATTTGGACCTATATGATTCTCAAGATTGTTGTCGACTCTTTGCAGAAGGGTCTGGTAAGTAATATGCACTCATTTTCAAATTCACGCAAGGGTAGAAACATATAGCTAGAAATAGAAATCCATTGTTTACATACAGATGTAGCAATAGCTAAATAAATACTCATTGAAATTCATGGTAAGTAGAAGCTGTGACGTCACACTAATACAATTTCAAATTTTTGTTTTGGCCATAGTGTTGGCAAGAAAGATCACAAGTGCTTGCTTGTGTTGGGCAAGAGTTGTGATGTCTTTAATGGCATACTTATTGCAAAGGCAGTGCTGCGTAACATAGAAAAGTATATTAACAGTGCGTCTAGCAGCAAATGCTTAGAGAGTTAAGCAACATGTTTGCTCAGAGAGAGAGAGAGAGAGAGACATATGTATGTAGATAGTTCAAGATATCAAATAAAGTAGTTATATATGAAAACATATTCACATCACATACTCTTTGAATACCTTTGCTTGACTTAAATTAATTTCTTTTGATTTCTATATTCGTCCAACTATAGATGTCCGGCGATATACGTTCCAGTGATAGTGAGGATCTCACAGATAGTTCAGGCAATGTGCGCGTTGCTAATGGCTCGACGCGCACAAAACCGAAATCTGGCATCTCTGCGTTAACAGCGGCAACAGCCGGCGGTGGGGTTGCCCAACGCAAGAGAGGAGCCAACACTAGCAATAATCACACGGGCGATGCAACGACAGCAGCAAAGTAAACAAATATCGCACTGTTGGCTGGATATGTAAGCGAAAGAGAGAGTGAGGTAGATTGGAAGTGGCAGCAGTGCTAACCGACAACTGTAAAATGAGGATCAACAGAGAATGAAAAACAACAGAAAAACAGAAGTAAACACAGAAACCAAACCAGTTCAGAACGTTTTTATGTTAATTTTTATTTTTATATTTTATAAAAAATATTTTTTAACTGAAAAAAAGAGAAAAAATTTGAATAAATGCGAGAAAAAAACGCAATTAGAAATTCAAATTATTTAACATGTGTCCAACTAACGCGACAATTATTATTTATAAAGTTTTGTGTTAAACCAAAAAAAAAAAAAAAAACAAAAAACAAAAACAAACAAAAAAACAGTTATTATTTTTTTTTATATGTAGTTTAGGCAAGGGCAAGAAATGGTTATATTAATTACCGTTATTGTAAATGACAACAACAAGAAAACACCAAAATAATTTGAATGATGATAAAGAAGATGCAGTACATACATAAAAGATTTAAAATTCGCTACGAATTCGCGCTTAGACAACAAAACAATTTAAAACCGAATAATAAGTACATTTAAATGCTATTGTAAATATTTTAATTGTACGTTTCCCAAGTAAACAAAATAATAAAAATAAAACAATAAACTAATTAAATGTATGTACACAAAAAAAAAAATACAATTTTTTATATTTTATCTGATGGCAAGGGCCTTGCTTGATTGTGCAAGTTGATTGAATATTCCGTTGAAACACCAGGCAAACAGAAAAGGTTGAGGAAAGAGAAACCCAAATCTATTCTGCTGTCTGCTTCCAGGGGCAAGTATGGTGAGCCATTGGAATTCGTTTTTAAACATGGCGAGTTTCCAGTGCATACTATTACAGCAGTTGAGTGAGCAGAGCTGTAAAAACTGCAGCTGGAAAGTGATCAAATACGCACGTTGATTCTTAATTGTGTAAAGTAAGCGTAAATATATTGTTGGCTTTATATATACATACATACATGTATAAATCAAATATGTATATATTAATTGCTTGCTGGAGGTGCATCAAATTTCATACATTCAATTTGTTTGCATTACCTGCATATTTGGACAGTGTTCGGGAGCATAGTTGTTGCCAAAGCGAGACACCAATAGCGTCAGACACAAGAATGAGCGAAACAGAACGTTGCACGGTACTCCTCTAAATTCTGTTGTGTTGTTGTTTGCCTTTAGCTTTGCTTTCATTTGCTCATTTTTATTTGATTTAAACTATTTATTTTGTTTAACAGATGCGAAATTTCAATAGATATATATACAAATATGCTATTTGGGTCTCTAGCACGTTTGCCATGTCTCTGGCGCCGCTTTGGCAGCCAGCGCAAGGATCGTGTGCTGGTTACTTTTGACTTCGACAAGACGATCATTGAGGAGGACTCGTATGTGGCGCTTTTTCGCTTGTTGTCACCCGAGAACCAGCACATGGGGCACCTTCAGACGCTAATCAGCGGCAGCCGTTGGCTGGAGTATTTAGAACATTTGCTGCGGCTGTTGCAGAGGGAGCAGAATCTGTCGTCAGCACAAATCGCGCAATCTATACGAAAACTGAAGCCGATGCCAGGAATATTGCATCTGCTGCGTCGCCTGGAACAGTGTGAAGCCGTGGATCTGTGCATCTTGAGTGACGCGAATAGTTTCTTCATCAAGGAGTGGCTGGCAGCGCACGGTCTAGAGTGCAGCTTCCAAGCAGGCATCTATACAAACCCGGCCTGTGTGATGCCTGAGAGTCAGCATCTAGTTGTGGTGCCATACGAGCACCAGACGCACTGCGACTACTGTCCGGAGAACCTGTGTAAAGGTGGCGTCATGGACATGCTCATTGGGTCTCAGAGCAAGGGCGACAAACTATACGGTAGCTTCATTTACGTCGGCGACAGTTGCAACGATCTGTGTGCTATACGTCGTTTGGGTACGGCGGATACAGCGTGCATACGGTGCGGCGAGGAGCTGCACGAGAAACTTCCGGCGTATCGCAAAGAGCTCAACTGCCAGGTGATTCACTGGTGGGATGGCCATGACCTGGAGAACCAGCTCCTGGCCAAGCACCGGCAGTTGCATTGGTAAATGGAGAGAAATTCTTGTTGGTAAGGCAAAATTATTAATGCTGCTGTTTTATTCGACTTATAATATGTTTTGTATGCATACATGTATATATATATATATAGATATATATATACATATATATTATTTATATATATATATATACGTGTAAGTGTATAACTATGTATTTGTATAGTAATTCACTTATTAGGGACTTATTGCATAAAATTCAATGGAAAATTAGATTTTGACCAAACTTTCTTTCGGTTCGTTTTTAAGTAGACGAAATTGCAATTTGCAATGCGTTACGTTACGCTACGTAACACGCCAACGTAAGCTATTTAAATGTTTGCCTGTTAGCGTTGCCACCACGTTTTGTTTTTCAATTGTGGTCGCTTAAATTCCTCTTTTACAGTTACTTAAATAATAATTCATTCTGTTGTTGCTTGTGCTTAACTTCTTTCATTTTTTAAATATACGGGTATTTTGTTTGTTTGTATGTGTGTAGTGTGGGTGCACGTTAGCATAAATTACATGTATAATACAATCTTAGGCCTAATTAAATAGTAAATTGTGGTTGTCAAACAAAAAAAAAAAAACCTTTATATATATGTGCATATGTAAGAAGACACTACTTATATGTACACACATACACTGCTGTATATGTATACATGCACTCACACATGCATACATATGCATAAGTATTCTGCACTTAACTAATTTACATGGCTAACTTACAGTTTAGACAAAAATAGTATTTTAGAATTACGTACATACATACAAAATTTAAACAAACCAATAAAAAAATGAAGTTTCGGCCCAATTCATTTATTACATATTTGTTATTGTTTTTCATTTATTTTAGTTTTCGTTAAACTTATTTAGTTGTATAGTACAAGTTTTTAGGCTAACGACGTACATAGAGACATAATTGTTGTTTTCCTTTTGTTATTTTTGCTTTGATAGATGCATCTCTATATCTATATATAAATATAAATATATATATTTGCATATTTCACCAAACACAAATTATTTAAAAAAAATACACATTACCCGTTGTCCTAACGGTAAAGGCTGCTGTGTGTGTGTGATGAATGAGGAACAGAGAGAATGAGAGCGAGAGACGCTAAAATAAAAGTATTTGCAATGGTAAATACGATGCACGCAGTGTTGGAAAATTATTGATCGCTGCACAGTGAGTCAAAATTGTGCCTAACGAATTTTAAAATTAATAATAAAATACAATTAACTAAAATGCAGCTAATTAATATGTGCAGTAGGTGTATTGGATTTGTGGTGGTGTATGTGTGTGTATTTCGACTTATTGGCTAATTTAAACAAAACTCAACTTAGGCATAAACATACAATTGATCTTGATCATTTTTCTTGTCATGTGTGTGTGTATGTATGTGTATATGTATGTGTATATATATGTGTGTACATAACAATATTTCTTCACTTTTTGCTTAAGTAACATAATTGTGGGCATATTTAAATCAACTTATATTTATGAATATATAAAAACAATTAAAAATAAAACAAAAAAAAATTAATTAATTTATATATATATATATATTGTGTAATATAAACATACGCCCGCAGACATGTACAAAAATTAGCTTATTATTTTTTGTTTAATACTATGCACGTGTGTGTGGGGGTGTGTGGCGGGAGGAGCTGGATTAGGAAGGGTTTGGCGGAGGTGGTGGCGACGGTGGCGGAGGTGGGTGGGTCGAGTGATCTCTGCTGCGACCCGCGCTTTACTACAAGTCCGTTAAAGTGCGCTTGGCACAATAACGTATGACCCCCACTCAGGCAACAACCGGAGGTGGAGCTATACCAATTGTTGTTGTTGTTGTTGTCGTCGTGGCTGCTGCTGCTGCTGCTTGTGCTGATGCTGTAGTTGTAGCTGTTGCTGTTGTTGCTGCTGCTGCTGCTGCTGCGACTGAGTTGGAGTTGTTGCTGTTGCTGGCGGGCGTTGTTGTTATAATTGTTGCTGCTGTTGCTTCCTCATTGCTGTTGCTATGCATTGTCGCCATATCGTGGCTTCTATGCAGCAACAACTGTTGCTGCGGTGGCATGCGTTGCCTGCCAGCAGCATTAGCCTCCAGCTGGTTGCTATTACTATTATTATTATTGTTGTTGCTGCTGCTGTTAGTGCTACTATTGCTGGGGCTCAGCGCCACAGCGGTTGCCGCCTCCATGGTTGCAGCGCCACCATTCGACTGCAATTGCAGCTGCAACTGCTCACAATTGGTGCTGCTGCTGCTGTTGGGCGTCGTTATCCTTTTGGTGGGCTTGGCGCGTGCGCAGGGCACGCAGAGCATGCCGTAATGTTCGCGCAAATTGGTGATGTGATCGATGCGATACTCGTTCAGCCATTTAACCTTTTTGTGTTTAACGGCGGGCTTTGTTTGGCTGCCATTGCCACTGGGTGACAACAAATCGGGCTGCTGCCCTTGAGGCAGTCCCTCGGGCCGTGTGGCGCCACAGCGCATACAAATCGAACAGCGTTCACAGCTCCATCGACCTAAAGTAGAATAGTTAGCCAAATTAGTATTCATACACTGCATAAATCAAAAATTTCAAACTTACCCTCGGGCACCGTCTTAATACCCAGGCAGTAAATGTGATAGCCACGATCGCACTGCTCACAGTAGAGCATCTTCCCGGGCTGTTGGCTGCTGCGGCACTTGATGCAGCACTTGCATTCGGCGCATTGCCAATTGTAGTTGCGCACTCGTCCGACCATTCGCTGCGGCATCTCAATGCAGCTAGGATGCACTGATGATGAATGGCAAAAGTTCGAATCAGATTGAATTCACTTTCCAATATCAATATAAATCTTACCTTTGCGGCGGCAGCTGTAGCAGCGTATAAATGCCTCGGGCATATTTCGTGCATTCCGATGCTGACTGCGCTGGCAGACGCCGCAGTTGTGCGATGACAATCGTGCCTCCTTCTCGCGCTGCTTTAACATCTCCGCTTCGCTGGCGGTGTTTATGGAACTGTTGTTGCTGCTGCAACTGCTGCAGCGGCTGCTGTAACTGCTGGCGCTGCTGCTGCAGCTGCTGTCGCTGTCCGCCTCGCTGTCCTGTTGGTACAACAATTCAAATGTGCATTAGTTATAAATTATATATACATATATGTATACATATTTGTATGTTTGTCAGTTTACTTACAGATTCGCTACTACTGGAGCCACTGCTGCTGCTGCTGCTTGCGCTGGCATAGCAGAGGCTGCTGGATTTGGCCGGATCATTGCTGCGCTGCTGACGCGAACGATGGCTGCGCCGCACCGAAGCCATCTGTAGCTTGCTTTGCGACGCTTTCACACTGTCCTGCAGCAGCTGTTGCTCATCCTGCTCCTGCTCGCCTCGCTGTTTTTGCGGCAACTCCAGGACAGTATTCAGGGGATAAGCTCTGCACATGAAAGGAAAACTTAATTAGTTCCTGATTTGCATTTATTTAAACTAAATTAGTATGGCCTATAGAATATTTATTCCGATATATCCTCTTGTTAAATAATAAACTATTCACCTAAAATTTCTCAAATAAAAAAATTAAAAATAAAAATCAAATATTCTCCTAATTCTTACCTTAGTTCCGCGGGTGTTAGCTTTCGATAGCTGGACGTAAATTGGCCTGGCACCAGGGCCAGTGGATAGGCATGATCGGGCTGTTGAAACGCTTCATCGTAGGCACGCGGACCGAGCAGTTGCGGCGGCGTCGGCATATTCTCTGCCTGCGCTGCGGCAAGCACGGCATCCGTAATAGACCGATGCAACGCAGTGGAGCTGGCTGCTGAGTGCTGCACGGGAAAATTCATAGTGAACGTTTGCAGATCCAAACAGGCGACACGCTCCTCCTTCCGCCTGCAACAAACAAATTAGTTGAAATTCACTCAAGTTCCATCCAACAAAAAGTATCCGGACTTACGTTTTATTAAAGTACACATTCCATTTGCTGGCCGAGAGCATTGCGCGATCGCGTGCCTGCAGGCCACGCCCAGTGCCAACGGTGAGGCCGAGCGCCTTCTGCTTGGCCTCGATTTCGCGCAGATGCTTTTGCCTAATATACTCTTTGTACTCCTCGTACTTGTCATAGAAATCGGCATACATAATGTCCAATATATCGGATGCCCAGACGGCCGTAATGCCGAGATCGCACATCTTCTCGCTGACCAGACCCTTCTCCTGAAGCCAATTGCGCTCCTCCATATCGACAGCGCGTCGCGGCAAATCGGGATATTTACGCTTAAAGCTCGTGATGCCCAGGTAGAGAGCGACCTGCTCCTGGATCATGAACGTGTCACGATTCTTAGACGGGCAACAGCCCTTGGGTGGGGGCCAGTCATATTCCGCAATGCTCGACGCATTGAATTCCGTGCTGCAAGCGAGGCACAGAGAAGGATTATGAATGAGAATGAACATTTACGAGTTGTAAATTCAAATTTAAGTTAACTTACTCTTCAGCCACACAAATTTCCATCTTCTTCTTCTTGGGTCGCTTAAGCGCCGAGCCGATTATCGCATCCACCGATTGGCCCTGGTTGGAGTCCATTAGGCTAACGTTGCTCAGCATAGACGATTGCGACTCCTCGTTGTTAAGGAAGTCCGGTTGTCTGCATGAAGATTAGTAGATTAGTTAATGAGCAAAGAGGGGATCACACTTGCAGAGGGGAAACTTACTTTTGTGGCGTCAGTGGAGGCTCCATGCTCGTTACCGATTGATTACTGTTATTTAGATCAGCACTCATGCGTGTGTCCTCTTCAAAGACCTGTGGCGACTGCAAAAACATAAGATAAACCCAACAGCAACGATTAACGCTAAGAAGCATTGTTATTTCTTAAAATTAAATTTGACTAATTTATTATTTTATTTTTATTGTATTTAATTTTATTTTCAATTTTTTGTATTTCATATTGTTTTATTTATTTTATTTTTATTTTTTATTTTTTAAATGGATTTTGTTTGTTGCGCTGCCGGCAGCGCTAGCGCCAGCGCCAACGTGAGAGAGCAACGCAAGAGAGCGTTTCGCTGCGCTGTTTGTGTGTTTGTGTAACAGTGTTGCCAGCATACAGAAAAATATGTATGAAAAAAAAAAAAAACAGTGTCTGCATGGGGAAGCGCACATGCTAAGCTTGCTCTCACTCTCTCTCTCGCTCTTGCCCTCTTCGCGACGCAGCAGGTGTGGTGAAGTTTGCCTCACTTGCCGCTCAGCCCAAAGCATTGCTACACCAATCGAAAGCAAGAGCGAATAAAAAACCAAAAGAGAGAGAAAAATAACAACAATTTGCAGCTGATTAAAATCACAGGTGAAGAGACGAAGGCTGCTGTTGCATCGCTGCTAACTTCGGTCGCGTGCTGCTCTTGTTGTTGTTGTATTTACTATTGTTATTGTTGCAATCGTATGCAATTTTGGTAGCAGTTAGCAATGAATACAGCGCGCGCGCGCCTTTGATTTTAATTACGACATAGAACACTGTTTGTGTGGGTATGTGTGTGTGTATATATATGTGTACATATATAAATATATATGAGTGTATGTGGGTGTGCATAGTCTTGTCTATTGATGTGTGAGTACGCTTTACGTAATAAAACATAAACAAGTTGCATTCAAATGAAATATATAGCATGAAGAATAGTAAAGCAAACTAGAGAAATATGTATATACAAATATGCATAGATATAGATATATGTACATATATAGGGGCATACCCATACATAGACACAGAAAGAGACAACGCGCATCCTTTGAATAAATCATTATCATAGCTTATGGCATACACTGAATTCGCAATACCCTTTAAATAATAAATATTCTAATGATTTTTACAATTTGGACCTTTAAAATGGCTCTTAAGTTGACCAATCCAATTGGGGCATTAATAATAAGTTTCCCAATTTATATTTCCCCAATATTATTTAGTCAAATTGAGTTTTAATAATGCCTTTCCATCCTTCATCCAACATTTCCCCTTACACTTACCGGACTAAAGAAGCCCTTGAGTCGTTCCGGATCCGGCTGATGCTTAAGTCCGCCCACGCAGCGCGGCCGACTAAGGGCAATGGCTTTGGCAACGGCGCTGGCGCCGCGACTCATGCGCGGGACTCGCGGCTGCGCGTTGTTCGCATTATTTCGATTGGCCGAGTTGCCGCCACTGTTGCTGCGCGCTGATCCGCCGCCTCTGCCGCGTCCACGTCCGCGGCCGCGCGTTGGTGTCGCTGGCGCTGCTGGTACTGCTGCCGCTGGATTGGTGCCGAAGGCGCTCAAAGGATTGCACAACGTGGAGGACTCATCTAGGGAGAGAAAGAGAAAGACATATATTTATATATGAATGAATGAAGACCGATTCAGTTCGGCCACATGGAAGCTCTCTTACCTCCAGAGTTATCCAATGCGCTGTAGTTGTCCTCATCGTGCGATTCATGCTGGCTGCCACTGCTGAGGCTGTTCGTGTTGCTGATGTTGCTGCTGTTGTTGTTATTGTTGTTGTTGCGCAGCTGCTGTGTGGCAGTTATCGAGGAGAAGTCGTTGGGCTGAAAGATCACATCCGGCAGCGGATCGGATGAGGATAATATGGTTGTTGGCGGCAACATGGAACAGTTGTTGCTGCCACCGCCGCTATTGCTGTTGCTACTATTCACAGCTGTGCCGGCGGCAATAGTTGCTGCTGCTGCCGTTGTTGTTGTTGTTGTCGCCATTGCGCTGCCATTGCTAGTGGACGAGGAGGACGAGCACATGGTTAGATCAATCTGAGCCGCCAGAGCATAAGCCATGCTATTATTGTTGCTCTTGCTGTTGCTGTCGTTGCTCAGCTCCGTTTCTCGGTCGAGGCGTGGCATCAGCCCAACTGCATAATCTGTTGTTGCTGCTGTTGTTGTTGTTGCCGCTGCTTCAGCCGCCGCCGCCGCCGCCACAGCAGCAGCTGCAGCTGCAGCAGCTACTGCGGCTTTGCTTTGACGCTTGCGGGTTGCTTTTGCTGGAGTTCCACTAGTTTCGGTTCCCGTTCCAGTTGCTGTTGCAGCTGCTGCTGTACTGCGTCGCGTGGCACGCAACAGTCGCTGCTTTCCGCAACGTCCCGGCGTTTCAATTGCTGACAGTCGTTGCTGCGGCTCCTGATGATCCTGCTCCTGCTGCATGGCATCCAATTCCTCCGTCTCATGCAACTGCTGCTGCTGCACCTTCAAGCTATGATTCAGCTCCGAGGCAACCATATCGATGGCCAGTCGCTTGTGCAACAGCTGCACGCGCCGCGACTTGCTGCTGGACTCCATCAGCTCAGCTGCGGCTGCGACTGCTGCTTTCGCTGGCGTCAATTCGTTGGCATTGCGCTTGGGTCTGCCGCGACGCTTGCCAGTGCCGCCAGGCGTGGGCTGTGGTGACGATAGATGCTTGCAACAGGCCGCAGTTGCCACAAGGAAATCCTGCGCCAGCTGCAGACTGCCATTGCTGTGGGCATGGTCGCTCACTGTTGGTGTCGCTGGCAGCGGCAACTGTTGCTGCGGCTCCTCAAGCTCCGTATTCAGTATGCGCTCGTGCTTCTGCTTTCGACTGCGATGCGTTGGCTGTTGCTGCTGATGCTCGGGTGTTGTTGTTGTTGCTGCTGTCGTTGCCGCTGCTGCTATTGGGCTGACAGCAACTGTTGCTGCTGTGTCATTGCTGCAGTTGTGCGTCTGTTGATCATTTTCATTGTTGTCCAGGCGCCGCTGTTTATTCGGCGGCAACTAAAAATCACAAACATAAACGATAAGAAATCGATTACTCAAATTGTTTACAAACTTATAAACCAGTTCGTGAGTGGTTCAGTTCATGAACCACATGCAATAAAGAATTTAAATACTCGAACTATATTAATAAAACAAATCGATACTTATCGATATTGAGCAAATTTTACAGATATAAATTCTGTAATAAATCAAATTAAATTGTTTGAATTTTATTTCAGATAAAACTCAATCGATATATTATCGATGTTGCTTAAATTATTGAATTGATAATTTAATAAGAATTAAACTTTGTATAATTTTTGAATCACTACTGATTGGATTATATCGATTGCGATATTCGCATTCTTCGATAAGTAGGTAAATAGAGTTATAATGCTTTGGTCTGCAACCTCATCCATCAATATGTCTGTGGAACCTCAAATGTTGCCGTCTAAATATTACACGCGTTTGCGCTAAGCAGCCCCACACATACAAACATAGATATATGTTTTTTTCTTTTATAGATCACTTACGCCACTGGGAGATTCTGCATCTGTCTGTAGGTGTTGCTGATGCTGTTGCTGTCGCTTCAAATGATTCTCATTGTTGTTGAGTTGCTGCTGCTGCTGCTGTTGCTGTTGATTGTCGGGCTTATGATTTGGATTCAGATTAAGATTTAGATTCAAATGGTTCAGATGATTGCTTAGTTGCTGCTGTTGCTGATGCTGTGGCGGCGGTGTTGGCGATGGCGGCGTCTGCTCCGTCTCGTAGGCACTTTGCATATAGGAGGGCGTCAATTGCGGATGTGGGCTGCCCTCGGGCGTGTCCAATATCTCAATCGAATCGATTATCGGCTCTGCTCCGCGAGCAATAGTTGCTGCTGCAGCAGCATTTGCTGCTGCTGCTGTTGTTGTTGTTGTTACTGCTGCTCCATTCGCCATTAGACGCTCCGTTAGCTGTGGATATTTTGCAGCAGATGTTGAATTGTTGCCGCTGTTGCTGCTGTTGCTGAAGCTCTTCGGCGGCGCTGTTAGCTGGCTGAGCAATATATTGGAGTTGGGTGAGGCGGGATTGCTGCTGCCAGTGCTCTTGTTGTTGTTGTTGTTGCTGCTGCTATTGTTGTTGGGGGTGGTGATTGCTTCCTGCATCTGCAAACACTCGAGCAGCAGGCGATTCTGTGGTCTGCTAACAGCTGTTGCTGTCGCATAGCTGTTGCCCTGAGTAGTGCTGCTGCTGCTGCTGTTGTTGACATGCGCCGGCGAGGAGCCTGGCGAAGGCGATGAAGTCAAATCAACCATATCCACAATATTATGTTGTTGTTGCTGTTTCGTTAGTTGCAATTGCTGTTGCTGTTGCTGCGGCACAATGCCATTGCTGCTGTGCGCTGGTGGCAAATTGTGAAACATTTTTGGATCATGCTCCTTGGACAACGCATCATCAATGTCCATATCGTCAGAATTGCGACGCAGCTCGTCCGTTTCGCCATCAGCAACAGTTGCTGCCGCCGCTACTGCTGCAGCAGCTGTTGTGTTGCTATCGCCGCCATTGGTGAGCGTTAGCTTGGAAGTTAGCACCTTCTCTTCGAGCACAGCGCGCACCTTGTGCTTGGGCGAGCAAAGATTCTTGATGGTCAGCTTGAGCAGAGGCTGTTGCTGCTGCTGCTGCTGTTCGTTGCTGCTGTTGCCCGTCTTAATGGTGAGCTTGGGCACCAACTGTTGCTGTTGCTGCTGCTGTTCATCATCGTCGAGCTCAATGGACTTGGTCTTGATTGTTAGCTTGGGTATTGATTGAGCATTCTTTGCATCATGCGTCATGATCACCGTGTGCTGCGGCAACTGTTGCTGCTGCTGCAGCAGTTGCTCCTGGTTACCCGTTTTAATGGTTAGCTTTGGTATTTGTTGTTGTTGCTGCTGCGGGTGCGAGTGCGCGTGCTGGTGCGGGTGAGAGGGCTGTTGCTGTTCCTCGCTACTAATGCAGCTGCTGCCCGCATGCGTTGTCTTGATCATCAGCTTAGGCACTGTGGGCTGCTGCTGCTGCTGCAGTTGCTCGCTGGCCGAAGAAAAGGAGCTGGCAGATGAGCTGGACGCAGACGCCGGGGATAGACTGCAGCTGAGAAGCTGCGTTTCGCTGCCGCCATTGCCCTCCAATTTGGTGGTCTTGATGGTTAGCTTGGGCAGTGCACCGCCGCCAGCAGCAGCAGCAGCAACGGCAGCAGCAATTGCATTCACCGAATTCAGCGGGCTGTGACAATTGCTGGACTCCACAGCGGCGGCGGCAGCGGCAGCGGCAGCAGCAGCAGCAACTGATGCATCGGGCATCTTAATAATGAGCTTCGGCACCACGCTACTGTCCCGTTCCTCGTTGGCGGCTCGTATTGTTAACTTGGGCACGATGTGCGGCAGCTGCTCCTCGTCGGCGCACGAGGATGAGGAGCAGGACGAGGATGCATCTGAATTGTTGGACACATTATCTGGTGCTTTGATTGGCCTAATTGTTAGCTTAGGCACAGTGCCCTGCTGTCCCATTGCATTCGTTGCTGTTGTTGCTGCTGCGGCTGCAGCAGTTGTTGCTGCTGCTGTTGGCAGCTGTGTGGGCAATTGTATGCGCAGCGGCTCGACGCGTCGCTCATCGTTGCCCGCCTGAGATTCGCTTGTGCTGCTGCTGCCGTGCTTGGAGAGCTTAAGTATCAGCTTATGACTACTGCCGCCGCTGCTGCTGTTGTTGTTGCTGCTGCTATTATTCTCCTCGCCATTCACATCTAAAGCTGTGGCAGCCATTGTTGTTGTTGCTGCTGCTGCGGCTGCTGCTGCCGTTGGTCCACTGCTGTTGTTGCTGCTGCTACTGGGGCTATATGGCAGCTGCGCATCGTCGCGCAGTCTGTGCTGCGGCGGCGATGCTGTGGTGCTGGTTATTTGACCCACCAACTGATGCTGTTCCTGCAGCGCTTGCTGCTGCTGCTGCTGTTGATGTTGTTGCTGCTGATGATGATGATGATGTTGCTGCTGTTGTTGGCGCTGCGTTGCTGCTGCTGTCGACACATTCAATTGTTGTTGGTGCTGCTGCGACGATGTAGAGCTAACTACCTGCTGCTCCTCTTCGTCCAACTGTTGCTGCTGTTGCTGGATGATAATGATGCTGCTGCTGCTACTACTACTGTTACTGGTTGTTGCTGTGGCTGCTGCTGTCGTCGTTATGGCGGACTTGCAGTTCGTCGAGCCAACACTCGAATTCGAATTGGAACATGAACGTGGACTGACGCTGGCACTGGAGCTGGAGCTGGCGCTGTTAATGTTGCTGTTGCTGCTCGTGGAGCTGTTGCTGGAGCAGAGGGGTGTTGCTGCCAGGCTAACTGAAGATGATGTTGCTGCTACCTGTACCTGTTGCTGGCGTAAATCATTCATTGCTTTATTCCTTTATCCGCACCAAAAGCAATTTCCTTTTGCCTAAAAAAAAATGTGCAAAGAAAATTACAAACTTTAGTATGAAGTTAATTAAAGCCTTATGAATAAATAAAGAAATATAAGAGATGCGTTCAATCAGTTTCCTTCTGGGCGCTAAATTTATCAATACTTGCACACATTCACAACAATTAGTCGATTTTAAATATTTCATGAAAATTACTTTCAATGATTACAGTCAAATGTAAACGAATTTAGATTTTTGCAAATGTATATTTTTATACATATATATTATTTATGTCACTAACTTTTGCATGATATTCTTTACAAGTGATGCCAGATCGACACAACAATTTCTGATCCAGTTATGGATATCCAACAAAACTTATCACAGCAATAAAAACTGCACCAACGCTAGAGATGTGCAATGCAACCAAAAACGACTATTGACTAAAGATGGGAAACTAAACTAAATAAACACGAATTGCACGAATTCCTTCAACCAACAGAGATATGGAGAGAGAGAGAGGAAGAGGGATAGAGACAATAAGGCAAAAAATCTGGCCTTATTTATATATATTATTACAAAATAAAAATACATATGAAAATATCTACTGAAAAATATCGATGAATATAATCAATTACTAAAACTTTATTTGAATCTGATTAGCCTTTGAAAAATTGTTCCGTTATTTTCAATTTTTATTTATTTATTTTTTGATGTAAAGTATATCGAATAAATTAAATCAAACTCTGACCCTGGTCGTTGCCATTAGATCAAAATTAGTTTAAGTTATATGAAAAAAAAAACTAAAAAAAAAGAAATTATTATTTTTGTTTTTAAATCCAAGTCAGGCGATTTTTGTCTTTTTGAGAGACTTTTTTGGTTTGCAGAAAATTTTATTTTGATGTTGCTGCAGTCGATAATTGCACCACTTTGGCAGCCAGTAAAAAACCAATTGGGTCTATTCCGTGCATTGGCAACTGGTGGTCGGATTCCGGGCACAAATCTAATATTGATGCCAGTCGCTGCCGGTAAATGTCGCTTTGGATTTATCGAACATTTTATGATGGCATTAGCTGGCGCTTGGCTCCTGTTTCGTGTCATCTACCGTGAGCTGAAGGATGTGAAACCAGCGAAAAGACAACAACAACAGCCATATTGCGTTTCTTGCATTCCATGGAATGAAAACGATACGGATACGGATACGGAAACAGAAACGGAAATGACAATAACAACGACCACGACAGCAACAACAATTACAACAACGACTACGGCAGACAATGGCACATCCAGCTCAACGGATGATACTTCCAACCAGACGGATGAGGAAACAGTCGATGGTCAGTTGATGATCGATACGGAAGGAATGCTGGGTGACGGTACGGAAGCGATATTCTATTGGGGAACTCATCAACTGCATAAGCCAGAACCGATATTTCGATTTACACGATTACAGTTGGAGAAAATGTTGCGTATGGATCAGGATGAAAGCGATGATAGTAATGATTACGAAGACGAAGATTCTGATGATGATATTATTCAAGATAGCGACGACAAGGTTGATGATAGTCAGAGCAATAGCAATAAGGATAAGGAGGATACAAATTTAAATAGCTATGAAAACATCAATGAAATGCAAGCAAATGTTCGATATCAATAACTCCAGCTGCAGCCAGCAAAGATCAAGAGCAAGGCGCCGTTAGCAGCAAGTTGTCTACATATGTATGTGTCGTCGTCATGAAGATTATGATGTGTATATGTCTATGCGTTCGTCTCACATTCCGCGCATTCCATTAAAAGGAGGTATATGGTTTCAGAATAGGGAGAAGTAATAACAGTAATAGTAATAATAATCATAATATTGATAGTAAGCGCATTTGTGTACCAGGACAGGAGAACGAACTACGCTGAAAGATAAACACATGCATGCGAATAAACACTCAGACATACATATATAGACAACAACATGCAGTACGCAACAATAGCAGAGCACAAAATTTGTTGATATTTAACACATATTTCGATCAGTTTTTTTTTTTTTTTTATTTATATGCTATTATTTAAGTAATTGTAATTAATAAATAATGCGTATACCGAAACTATACCATTTACTTTCACTCCATCTCTTTTCTGCTCCCCCTCTCTTAGTTTTAAGTGTGTATGCACGTCTGTGCGTTGCACCGTTACTTCAAAGTACCGCCTCTGTGATTGGCCATTAAATATACAATTTACATCAACTAGCGGCAATTAGTACAAGTACTAATACGCACACATATTCGCGAGTGTATATGTATTGTTTTGTTTTCATTCTACACTTGCAATCTCGCTATTCACGTCAAGTAACAGTAACTTAAGAATCACACACAGAGAGTCGCCGGTAACCAAACATAGGAGCAAAAAATAAACGCATTTTGCTTATTGTTTGTTATTTATAGAAATAACACCAAGAGAGCGAAAATTTGTCGATGGAATTAAGGTAGTGCATAAAGTTTTTAATTTTATTATGAAATTTGTTCCTCGAAAATGCCGCGTAAACAGTAGCGTAATGAGACGCTGAAAAAACAGCAACAACAACATCGACAGCAAAAATAACACCAACGTTGTTAATAATACGCTGCGTAAGCGTGGAAACATGCGCGGCACACAGCTGTCTGTCGCGAGCAGCAGAAATTGAGAAAACCGCGCCACATTGGTACGCACTACTACAACAACTGGCAGCGGCTGCGACGTGGTGTATGTGTTGGCAACACTGTTAAATTCACCAGGGTCCGAGACAGAAATTCAACACAGCACGGTACACACACATTGGAACCGATACCAACATGAGAGGCAATCGCCCGTGCCGCTGCATGGAGAAAATACATACATACTCGTGCACAATGTACATACACACACATGCACAAATACACGTTCTTTTATACATGCATCTACATCACTGACCCCCGCGCAACTGACTACACGGCGCCTATGCAACAACAAAAAAGAACAGCGTCAGAGCCAACAACAAATCCGAGCGCAACGCGCCTAAGGCAATGCAAAAAAAAACCCAAAATGAAATAAAACTAGCAAAAATGAGTGAAAATGAGAGAGAGATAGAGGGAGAGAAAAAACACAAAAAAAAACTGCTACTTAGTAAAAGACGCCGAAAACTGATCCAACAACAACAGCAGGCAGCCTGGCTGGCTGGCAGGCAGGCAATAAACTCACCATGCGGCAAAACGTCAGACAAAAGAAGATGGAGTAGAAGTTGAGCGCCTTCTCTTTGCATGCAATTCGCGTGTATATTGGTGTGCGCGTGTCTTTGTCGATGTGTGTTAAGACATGGAACATGTTTTGTTTTTATTTGCACAATTTGTAAACATTTCGTTGCACTTTTTCGTTATATTTATTTAATATACAAAAAAAACATTGTCGTACACATTGATGAGACTGTAGTCGGTACAAATTACCCGTACTTGTACTCGTCTCGCACACAAACACACAGCACACACCGCACACAACCATACACACTATACACTACACACACATATAGTACACACGCACAGCACACTACACCAGCAAGCGCAGCGCTCGGTTGTCCCACTTTCCGTGTATTGGTTTCGTACACTTTTCCACGCACTTTTTAACGATTGAACAGCAGCAGACGACGACGCATAAATTTGTTATAAAAAAAATAGCGTTTATTGTTAACTGTTTCAACTGATCATACGAACATACGAAATTTTAATTCGGCGCGCACCTATCGTTTTAACAATTCATTATTAAATGTATGCTCTGCTCGCTGTCTGACAGTGTTTTTTCTTTTTCGCTTGGAATATAACACTACCGTACTCGTCACGACAAAATGGAAATGAAAATTTAGGGCTGCTAACTGAATATCGATACATCGATATTTTAATGCTACGAATTATATGCGATACTTTAGAATTTCTGTACTGCATATAAAATTGTTTTTGGAAATATAAATATAAATATACTTTTAAAAATCGTATACTTAAGTAAGGTAAAGTAGATCAAATATTTCGTTGAAGGAAGCGGAAACATAATGGATTAAGTATTTGGCATTGAATTGTTATCTGGTTAATTCGATAAATTATTTAGATCAATGAGATATAAAATGATTAAGTTCTGTTGGATTTATATTATATATAATTTCTATTTGATAAAAAACACTTCAAGTCTTTCGAAACTTTTAAATCGAATTATACAAACTGCTAAAGCTAAATGCTTATCGATAAAATTACAATTGAATTCAAACATCGAACAAGGGGCGCTTCACACCATCGCCGCCACCGCTTAAAGGTGGCCATGCCAGAAGCTTCCAATCGGATGGCAACGCCAACGCTAATAAAGCTACTGTCAAAGTTGCCCAAAGCTAAATCCGAAATACATACATACAGCGAAAGCAGAAGCAAAAGTCAAGCTGCTGGTGCTGCCCACCAGTGGGCTCTAAAAATCCCATTTAAGAGGCATCTATTGCATATTCATATGCAAAAGCCAGTCAACATGTCTACAGGAGCAGCAGCAGTATCAACTGTCTCAGCAGCATCTTGCGGACTGGGCAAGCAGCAGCGTCGTCGTTTGGCTGCCTTCGATTTTGATCATACAATTGTATCCCAGAATACGGATACAGTGGTACGCGACATGCTACCCAATGAATTGATAAGCTCAAAAGCACTCACCGATCTAATGGAAAGCGAATGCTGGACAGAGTATATGGCTGAGATATTTCGTTTGTTGCATGCGCAACAAGTCCAGGAGTCGCGCATTCGTGACGTTATACGCTGTATACCTGAGGTACCTGGATTCGTGCGTCTGATAAAGCACTTGCATAAGCGTCTCAACTTCGATTTGATCATCATTAGCGATTCAAATAGTGTTTTCATTGATGAGTGGCTGCGCGCCCACAATTTGTCTGATTGCTTCAAGGCCATCTTTACGAATCCCGCTCATTTCGATGAGCACGGCCAGCTTCAAGTACGCCCGCATCATCAGCAAACGGATTGCAAGTTGAGCGCCAGCAATTTGTGCAAGGGCCGTGTTTTGGAGCATTTTGTCATTGAGCAGGATCTGCGCTTCAATATACGATACGATCATGTATTTTACGTTGGGGACGGCAACAACGATATATGTCCCGTTTTGAGGCAACGCGCCTGCGACTTTGCCTGCGCCCGCCAGGGCTTTGCCATGGAGAGACATTTAATCAAGAATCGCAACAAATTGAAGTTGCGGGCCCAGTTGCTCATCTGGCGAAATGGTTTCGATCTGCTCGAGCAGATGTGCGCATTGCCTCAGCTTCAAGGACAGTCAATTGAATCTCATCCATTGGAAACAGAGATCGGCAGACGTGCATCAGCTGCAGCACCAGCTGCTCCTCCTGCTCCGCCGGAACAGTAAACATTTCTTTGGCATTAACAATACATACATATATACAACAAATAATCCGTATATATGTATGTGTAGACATATATACATTCGCATACATACATATAAATATCGATATAGATACAGGAGGGGCCTAAATAAACGAACAAAATCTGCTATAATCATGACAATTTCTTTGGACAGCCCTCGTATATGTATCTGTATGGAATCTATATGTATGTATATGTATTGATTGATTTTTGCCATCATTCTTTGTTGTGATCAATGTTTATATATATATATGATATATATATTTATATGTAACTATTTGTAGTTTAATGCACTTGAATATAAATGTAAAAGTTTTTTGTAATGTATTTTTGTGCTCGCAGCGATTTGCTTTAATTGTTGTATGTTGTAATTAATATGAAAGATATATATATATATATAGATATTTATATATATATATTGTTTGTATATATATGCATACATATGATAATCCCACACTAAAAGTCAAATAAATGCATTTTAAATGTTGCAACACAAAAAAAGACTTCGAGCTCGTTTTCTTACAATTAAACAGTTTATTAGCAGCAATTAATAATACATACATACATATATATAATATATATATACATATCTAAATTAGTTAGTTAAACTATAGCTAAATGACTTGTGAATTCAATGGATAGCTATAACATTTGCAAGCTTTATCATTGTTTATCTTTCATTTGTTGGTTTTGAAAACGTTCTAATTAGCTGTTCGCGGAGCTTAACAATGTATCAATTATATATATAGATCCACGGTATCCATGTGTGTTATATAGTATACATGTGAACATACATCAGTATTAGCATATATATTATATATATGTATATGGTTTAGTTAAAGCAATTTAGCTGCATGGGCCATATCCATATTCAACAAACTTTCTTAATCTAACAAAAATTAAGGTTGATAAACTAACATATTGGGAGACTGACTGCTGCTGTTCCTTCTGTTCTTGATACTGAATTAACTTCCCAATGGCGACATGCCAATCTGTCGCGGATCAGCTCCTGGCGGCTGTGCGGAATTTGGTTCCAAATTCTTGATGAGCATCTGCAGCCATTGTTTGGTGGACTTATCGTCTTGCAAACATTGAGTAAAAGTGCCGTCACGCAGCTGATCAGGCAGACATTGACCCAAGGCTTTGCGTGCGCTGAACAATTTAAGAAAATTAATAATAATAATCATATAGTTATAGATAATGTGCAGACAGACCGTGTATTGTCAGAGAGTCTCAAATAGCAGCGTACGACATGTTTCAAAAGGCGCGCACAGGGCTCCTTCGACAGTTGTATAACCATCTTGCCCTACACAGGATAGAGAGAGACAGAAATATATAGCATACATACATACAAACAGATAAATATATAGAGTTGGACTCACCAGCGTTATGGCTACATGAGAGAAACGTTCATAAGTCTGACAGATGTATGACAATCCCGATTCGTCTAACAAAATTTTCTGTATTATAAATGTGGCCACAGTCTTACTTAGCTCCGAGCCACTGTCCATGATGGTGAGACATAGTGGCACAATTTCGGTGGTTAACAAAAATGTAATCACCTCCTGTTCATCAGTCTTGACCAGAGCACCAATTACGCCCAAGCTCGTCAAACGAAGATACTCGAATGGACGCGTTTTCGATGTGGTCGATAGAAATGGATACAAATAAAGTGGGATTTGGGCTTGCAAAAAGGCGGTGCGCGTCTCCGGATGCGAGGCGACACATTGCAGCAATGCCAATGCATTGCAAACGCGATTCGATTGATGGGCTGTCAGAGTGGGAGGCGCTATCGATGGATATATATTGATGATCTCCTGCAATAGAGCACAAGCGGTGCCAAAACTATTCCAAAGCATCGGCGCCAAATCTGTTTCACGCTTCTTGCTTAGCTCCAGCAGCGCCGTTTCACGGGTATCCGGATGAGCCAGCTCGTTGATCCATTGATAAACCTAAAATATAAATTTACATATATATATTATTAAGTATAAAAATTTAAAAAAATATACATATACGTATTTATTACATTAATTTTGTTGCTATTTATACAAGCGTATTCAAATCATCAATCTGCATACAAACACACATTCATTGACATACAATATGCAGGCAATTATACATATATGCATTCACAACACATATGTATATGCATACACAATACATACACACCAACAATCCGTTTGTATGTATTGGTACATGCATACATACATATGTACAATTAATAAAGTTTAAAGTTGTTACCTTTTCTTGCTCCGTGGGCTGCTGCTGTTGCTGCTGCTGCGGATTCATGCAAGGGCTTGGCTGTGCGCTCATCCTTGTTTATTTTTTGTCTAAAAACAAGTAATATAATATTTGATAGAGCCACACGTTTTAAAAATAATTTCAGGTCTGATAAAATTAAAAATAACACAATTTAGCGCGCTCCAATTGTATCTTTTTTTGTTTTTTCTTATTTACCAACTTGGATCGCAGTAGCAATCGAATTGTATATGATAAAATGTTGCAACTATTTAAATTAACTGCTAATATTTATATTAGCACAAAATCGCCGAAAAATGCAAAATGCCGTACGAAAAAATAAAATGTCGGCCACAAAATTTTTGGTTTCCACAGCTGATTGGATGCTGCAGCGCTGCCACTATATTATTCCAAGTATCTGGCAACGACTAAACTCAAAGCAACACTGCGTTTTTTTTTGTTTGACATTTTGACGTGGACAACTGTCAAAACAAATTCGTTCGTAGCAGGCTTCACGAACTAGTTGAACAGTCGTCATTCGTGTGGAAATTTTCAAAGCAGACAGAGGTGTGTGAAAATTTTGAACAAAAATATATATTTCCTTTGTAACTTCAACGAGATATTCATTGAATTCGAATATTGAGTAAACATAAAAGAATTGTGTAAGCGTGAATGGTCATCTAATATAAAATTTAGACTACATTTATATCAACCCGTGTTGGTGTAATGGAACATTGCACTGCGTGGCACTGCTTACCGAAATGTCTGATTTCAATCAAAAGAACTGTTATAAAAAAATGAGAACAAACTATTTGGAAATTAATGAAAAATCATTTGGGAAAAGCAGCGACACGTGCAACAGAGTTCTATAGCGGTTTCATACAGCAACAAAAATTTCACCTCTGACGTCGCCAACGTCTTCGGCTGCCACGTCGTCAGCCTCGTCGTCGGCGTCGTGACGTTTACGATGTCATCGGGTTTCTTTTTGTTTTTGTGTGAAAGTGCCCTGGCCCACATTTATTTTACATGATATATACATATATCGTAACATCTTATATTAATAATTGTAATCCATTCTGAACACTCTTGCAGCTTCCCAAGTGTCGCACATTTAGCACTATCATGGATAAAGTTGTGAAATTTGCTGAGCCTGGTCGTGCCTTTGCCAAGGACTCCATTCGTTTGGTGAAACGCTGCACGAAACCCGATCGCAAGGAGTTCCAAAAGATCGCCATTGCCACAGCTATTGGCTTCTGCATCATGGGTTTCATTGGATTCTTTGTCAAGCTGATACACATTCCCATCAATAACATTATCGTTGGCTCGTAAGTGTTTGCGTCTGGAGAGTGAGAGGCGAGGGGCAATAGGAGAAGAGGATGGAGAACCCGGCTAGTAGCCCCAGAAGGAGATGAACAATAATAATCATCCATTTTACGTAGCATATATTCTTTCACTTTTAAACATATTTACTTTAATTTTTTTTTTCTGTATAGAATTGCATTCAACGAATGTCCACATAATGTTACAAAATTTTTCATGTATGTGAAATTTATTGCAATAATGTTAAAAATTCCATTCACAAACCATGAACGTTAGTTAATAAGCGTCAATAAAAAAATAAACGAAAAATTATGATCATTTTTCATTTCTGAGATTGGACTCCTTTGGTCAAAGTATTACAAGTGTACTTAAAATTCTATAAGTATATTGTTTCTTTTAAATGTTTTATGCTAATTTGGGCAATATTTTTAATATTTTGTTTCTGGAGGTCTTTTACTTTGTTATGAGAAAGTTGGATAAGTCAGCTTAATAGAAAATTCCCCTTTCTATTATTGAAACATAATATGTACTATAAAATATTATGTTTGATATACATGTAAAATGTAATAAAAATAGACTGTGTAAATATATAAAAAGTACTGGATCTTACTACACTATATTTTTATTATTATATATTGAAATCTGGTCTACAGGGTATTTCATATTCGGTAGCCAAATGACACTTAGACATTTTACACCTCATACTGCTTTGCATGGATGTATATATCGATAACTATCGACGTAAATATCGGGCTCGTGACGTGGAATGTGTTTTGGTAGCTAGTTTATTAGTTCCAGTTGAAATTGTTAGCGTTTACTTCATAACACGAATTTTTTTTACAAATTAGTACGTAAATAGAAAATGTTAGACTTTGTGGTCATATTCACAAAAGGCGGTGTTGTGCTCTGGAATTCAAATGAATCCGGCAAGAGCTATGCGTCGTGCATCAACAGCTTAATACGTGGCGTCATTCTAGAGGCAAGTCAACCGAACTGTTTGTTATTGTTATTGTTAATGCTAATTTGTTTAATTTATACCTTTGGTTTACTTTTGGTGTATAGGAGCGAAATACAGAGTCCAAGTACTTTGAAGAGGATCATTTGGCCGTACAATTTAAGCTAGACAATGAGCTCGATGTGGTTTATGCCGCCGTCTTTCAAAAAGTCATCAAGCTTAACTATTTGGACAACTTTCTAGCAGAAATGCAAAGTGCATTTCATGAAAAATACTCTGGGATTGCGGCACAAGAGCGACTGGCAATAGACTATGAGTTCGAGCAAGAGTTCCGAATGGTGCTCAGCGCCGCTGAGGAGGCATCACTCAAACAGGGCAAAGTACCTAAAGCTATGCGCTCCTACAACGAATCGCAGAAGTCAAAGAAAACCGTGGCATCCATGATCCAGGACGACAAGAAGGCGCCAAACGCAGTCGAGAAGCGTGTGAATATACAAGAAAGTCCACCGGCAAGCAAATCCCAGCCAGCATCGCCGCCACGCTCCACTGAGGACATAATACAGGAAAATCGACGTAAGCTTCGCGAGAAATTGACACCCACAAAGAAGGGGTCGGGAGAGGCGAAAACCACCAGGCAAAGCACGGTGGATAAGGAGCGAGAGAAGGCGGGCAAGAAGCCGCGTGTTTGGGATCTGGGTGGCAATTCCAAAGATGCTGTGCTGCTCGATCGTTCCAAGGACGCACCCGAAGATGTACAGCTTCAGACCATCAACAATGAGGTAGGTTGACCAGAGAGGTCACATTGTCTAAGAGCATGACTTAAGTATGATCATATTTTGCAGCTGGTGGGCACCATGCAGGGCAGCATAAGGGATCTGGATGTGGAGAGCGACACGGATGGATCGGACAGCGAATCCAGCGGCGACAGTGGACTGGAGGAGAAGCAACAGAAACAGAGACAGACTCAGCAACAGCAGCGCAATCAGCGAAAGGCCAAAGGCGGCGGCCTCCTATCCTATTTCAAGGGCATTGTCGGTGCCAAGACTATGACGCTTAGCGACTTGCAGCCGGCACTGGAGAAGATGCGCGATCATCTAATCTCGAAAAATGTGGCCTCTGAAATCGCCGCGAAGCTATGCGATTCGGTGGCCACCTCGTTGGAAGGCAAACAAATGGGTACCTTCGATAGCATCGCGAACATGGTCAAAGAGGCGCTTACCCAGTCATTGGTGCGTATTCTGTCGCCCAAGCGTCGCATCGATATTATACGTGATGCACTGGAATCGAAGCGTAATGGACGCCCATATACAATCATCTTCTGTGGTGTGAATGGCGTTGGCAAGTCCACAAATTTGGCCAAAATTTGCTTTTGGTTGATTGAGAATGATTTCAATGTATTGATCGCTGCCTGTGACACGTTTCGAGCTGGCGCCGTGGAACAATTGCGCACACACACAAGACACTTGAATGCACTGCATCCGGCAGAGAAGCACAAGCAGCGCACCATGGTGCAGCTTTATGAGAAGGGCTATGGCAAAGATGCGGCTGGCATTGCCATGGAGGCTATCAAATATGCGCACGATACAAAAGTGGATGTGGTGCTAGTGGATACAGCTGGACGCATGCAGGACAATGAGCCACTGATGCGTTCGCTCTCCAAGCTTATCAAGGTGAACAATCCGGATCTGGTGCTGTTTGTGGGCGAGGCGCTTGTTGGCAACGAGGCGGTCGATCAGCTGGTCAAATTCAATCAATCTCTGGCAGACTACTCATCCAATGAGAATCCCCATATCATCGACGGCATTGTTCTGACCAAATTCGATACGATCGACGACAAAGTAGGCGCCGCCATCTCCATGACCTATATAACGGGCCAACCGATTGTGTTCGTTGGCACTGGACAAACCTATGCAGACCTCAAGGCCATTAATGTGAATGCTGTCGTGAATTCACTGATGAAGTAGTTACACCTGGAGTATGGATCAAGCTGAAGCTGTTGCTTGATCAGCCTTTCCGCGACCCAATCAAATTGATGTTAAGCTGGACTCATGGACTACTAACAACAATAACAACTGTCTTGCAGTTGGTCTGATATTTGTTTTTCTCTTTTGATTTTTTAGTTGTTTGCTTGCTGTGCGTGTGTTTATAACAAATAAAATGCACATTTTTTTATACATTTTATTTGTCTTACTTCTGGAAACATGTTCTAAAAGCTTTGACCGAAAAGACTTTCAAAGCATATTCCTGAAACTGTTTCCAAGTCCGAATAACTTCGCTTGGTTTGAAGTTTTACGAGCTTTCATAGAGAATGCCCAAGTTACAGAAGTGGAGAAGTCATACATATAAGAAGATATCATTTTATTAATATTATAATTATAATTCTTAGTTGAGGGCTACGATATACGTGAATGAAGAACAAAGATGTTGGTAACTTTAAGTAGGTCTACTTGTAGAACTCGTGCTCCTGTTCGTCCTTCTTGATGTTGTTCTTGTAACCCTTCTCGAAGTCCTTGGCAAGGACAATGTAACGATTCTCGCGCACCGCATGCATACCCGCCTCCTGGCAAATGGCATTGATGTCAGCGCCAGAGATTTTGTCGGGACGCGCCACAAACTCCTCCAGATCAACATCCTCGCTGAGGTTCATTTTCGATGTGATGGTGGAGAAGACCAAGCGTTTCTGTCTACGATCCGGTAGCGGGAATTCAATCTTACGATCCAAGCGACCCGGACGCAACAGAGCTGGATCTAGTGTATCGGCACGATTCGTTGCCATAATCACCTTTACATTGGTCGTTTGATCGAAACCATCCATTTGATTCAGCAGCTCGAGCAGAATACGCTGCACTTCACGATCAGCGCCCGTCTGGGCATCGAAACGTTTCGTGGCAATCGCATCGATTTCATCGATGAAGATAATAGCTGGCGCATTCTCTTTAGCCAGTCGAAATACGTCGCGGACCATGCGCGGGCCCTCGCCCAAATATTTCTGCACAAACTCGGAGCCGACGACGCGTATGAATGAGGCGGTCGTATGATGGGCCACAGCTTTGGCCAACATCGTTTTACCGCAGCCGGGTGGACCGTACATCAGGACACCACGGGGCGGATCAATACCGATTTGTTTGTACAGCTCAAAGTGGGTGAGCGGCAGTTCGACAGCCTCTCGAATCTCCTGCTTTTGCATATCCATGCCACCAATATCAGCATAGCTAACATCGGGCTTCTCATCGGGCTGCAGCATCGATATGGAGCTGTCCGCTTCTGGTGGCAGAACATCGACCAAAGCATTGCTATGCTTGTGCAAGGCTACCGAGGCAGATGGCTTCAGCAGCTCACGATCGATAGTGGAGAGGATGCGTACATAGTAATTGGAGCCGGTGGTAGAGCCGACAATTCCAGTATTCTGGTCAACAGCTTCCAGAAATTGGCCTATCACCAACGGCACCGATTGTATGCGTTTCACCTCCTCTTGTGCATGTAAATACTCTTTTTTAAGATTACGCTGCTCATCCTTGATGTACTCCTCCTGCACCTCAATGAATTCCAAAGTTTTTTGCAATTTCTAAAACGAAAAATGGCGGATTGGAAATTATAAATTGCAGATTGAATATAACAAAAAAGGGGCCTACCTTATAGCGCACATATAAATCTTCCATATCTAGCTCATCCAACGAGCTGTGCGCATCTTTTGGTTTTAATTCAATTTCATCCTGCTGAAAGAGGTAGAAGAATAATATTTAATATATTAGCAATAATAAACTATGAACTACAAAATGCTTACTCTTTCAGCCATGAATATGTCCATTTTGTACTTTTTATTTTAACGTTCCGGTGCAAAATGAATGGAGGAAAAGCAAATGACTGGCTAAAAACAAGCTGCACCAAGACTGGTGATGGGTGATGGTCCACATATCGATTGGCGCTGCAGTGACTGTCAAAATTTAACAAGTATCGATATCTAAGAAAATTTTCTAGTTACTTTTTTGAACAATTCAATAACCACATTAGAAAATATAATAAATTTAATTAGTATTAATTTTAAAAATGTAAATTAATAAATATACATTTTATGATTCAAGCGTCTATCGCTACTGTTTAGTATCGATACCCAATTAGAATAATAAACCACATATTTTGAGGCAGTGTGTACACACTGTGGCTATAACACGACCATTTTTTTGAGGCGATTTCGATTCTTCTCATAAGAAAACACATTTATTTTGAGCAACTAAATATGTGTGTGTGCCGTATGCGTGTGTGTGCGTGAAGAATTAAAAGAATACTTAACACAAAAAAATAACAAATAAAAAAGACAACAACAATTAGTGAATTAGTTGTGCGCGCATAAAATGGGTTAAGCAATTCAATTGCGGCAAGTGAAATGGAAATGGACATGGACTGTTTCAAACCGCATTCGCTCGTGCCAGAGAAAAATCGTTCACCACCTCTAACTCAGTGTCCTGCCGCTGCTTCTAGTTGGTGCTGCGCTGCCCTCTGCCTCAGCCGCTGCTCTGCCACTGTCTGTGCTCTACGCACGCATCGATTTGGGCTAAACGTTAGATACCTCCTAACGCAGTTTGTTAGGGTGGAAAAATATATAAGTACATAATAATAAAAAAAGAAGGCAAAGAAAAGAAAGGAAATGCTGTGCATTTTTCAATTAATTCATGCCCCAATCAATGTAACGAATTCAAGTGCAATATTAACAAACCGAAGTAAACTATAAAAAAAAAACAACAGAAGCAGCAGCAACAACAACAAAACGCCAACACGGTCGCAACTCGAGCAGCAAAACAAAAAGGCCAACAAATAATATAGAAAATAATCAAAAAGGAGAAAAAATAGATTTTTTTGTTGTAGAAATCTATAAAAGAGGCGGCAGTGTAGGCAGGCGGCAAACAAATTGGGCAACAGCGTTTCAAGCGGGGTAAACTATTAAAAATTAACAACACCGAAACTCATCTAAAAAAAAAAAAAGTAATGTGTACAAAATGTTTATTGTATAATTTTTCATTACAACTTCAACATGCATACGAACACACAGTCACATATGTAAATGCTCATATGCGTGTGCATTTGTGTGTGTATTCCATGTGCGTGCGTGTGTGCGTGCGTTTAGTTTTTGTTTATATGCCGTTTTCTATTTCTTTTTCGTCTAGTTTGTCATTTGCGCACATTCGTCAACAAAATGTGCGCTCGGCTTTAACAATGCGTTTTGCCTATTTGCTTTTATTCGGCTTATTGTTTGTTCTTTATTGATTTTAAGATGCTGCTGCAGTTGTGGACACACTGACAAACGCACACAAACACACGCACACGCATGCACATGCACACACACACACTACTCACTTAAAAACGCACGCATGCACGCACTCATACATACGAGCTTTTTTATATTTTGAGACAGTGCAATACGAAATTTGATTTTGATTGTTGTTTTTAATATTTCTTTTACAGCAATTCGATAGAACAGCTTCCATATGAAGACCATGTCGCGCTTTGGCTTGCGCCGTGGCTTCAAATTCTCCGAGGAGCAGCAGCAGGTCAATGGCAACAACAACAATAATAACAATAACAATAATAATAATAATGGGAATCCAATTGGACCAACTGCACAAAAACTGGCAACGCCGCCACGCAAAAAACGCAATCATAGCCTGCCTCGAGAACAGCAATTGGAACCAATTGAAGTGGAAGCGGAACTGGAAAAAGTGAACAGGGAGCAGAAACAACAACACCATCAGCAGCAACAACAACAACAATTGTCTGCCTCGCTGGTATGCAGTGTGCCTCTGGAGCGTTTGCCGCGTCTCGTTGAAAAGTTACAGTTGCTGCAACAAAAACAACAGGAGCAGCAACAACAGCAGCAACGCGAACTTGAGGAATATTCAGCAACAGCTTTTATCAAAGTTCTATGCTTGTACTGTGATAAGAAGTTCGCGTCCAGCAAGCTGCAGTCCAAGCATGTGGATAAATTTCATACGGAACGTAAAGAGCGACGCTGCAGCAATCGTTCCACCAATAACAATAACAACAGCAACAGCACTCACAGTTCCAGTCACGCCCACTTTCCGGGCTGCCAGCATTGCAACAAATCCAAGTCGCAAACGTTGCAGCCACCAATTTGTCTGCCCGCCAAACAGTTGGAGCAACTATTTGTCCATCTAATTGTCAGCCATGCGGACAAGTACTTTGGTTGCCAGCAATGTCAGCTGCGCTTCAATGATGCTGCCCAGCTCCACAGCCATATGCGCTTGCTGCATCAGCAACAGTTGCAGCAACAGCAGCTGCAGCTGCAACAGCAACAGTTGCAGTCACAGTCACAATCGTCTTCTATGATTGGCGGTGAGGAGCCGGTGCTCTTTCGCTTGGGTCTCACTCAGAATCGACTGCCCGGGCAGCGGCAACGCAATCGCAACAACAATGCAACAGCTGCAACAAAACAGCAACATCAGCAGCAGCGAAGCAGTAGTCGTGCAGCCCAGCGACAGGCAGCGGCAGCAGCAGCAGCAGCCGCCGTAGCATCAGCAGCAGCAACATCTTTGAGCAACTCCAGTAATGTCGCTGCTGCAACAGCAACAACGGCTACCAGCAGCAGCACAGCAACAACTACAGCTCCATCAGCAGCAGCAGCAACAGCATCATCATCATCATCGTCGTCGTCATCATTATCATCAGGAGCATCATCAGCAACGACAACAGTTGCTGATGACACACACTTTCGCATGCCCAGCCATAGCCACGTCTTTGATGACAACTTCTATCAGGATGTGGTGCTCAATGTGCGTCACAATCTGCAGCATTATCTCGACGGTCGCCTGCGCAGCGGCCCGGCCCCACCGCAGCCGCCCACTGCTGTTGGTGCTGGTGCTGCCAGCGTGGTGGCTGCCAGCAATCCGCAACAGTTGGCGCTGTGCAACGCCGCCTATCCTACATTGCTGACGGCCGAGCAGTTCGGCGATGGTTTGGGCCTGGGACTGGAAACCTTGCCGCTGGCCAAGGCAGCGCGGCGACCGCACACCAAGCACAGCTGGAAGTGGAAATGGGATTACGTGAAGAAGTTCACGATTGTCAACGAGGGCGGGCGGCTGGTCAAGAAGCTGAAGCAACCGTTTATGGGTCTGCGCGATTTGTCGCGCCTGGACATGTGGACGCAGCTGACGATGCGGCAGAAGCACGATCTGGAGCAGCAACAGCAGCAGCAGGATCAACAGCAGCAGCCACTGCAACTGGAGCAACAGCTCGAACAGCAGCAACATTTGCAACAGCTGCATTTGCTGCTGGATCGCCGTCTCCTGCCGCACATAATGCTGGAGCAGAACGAGCAGGCAATTATCAAAGAGGAGCAGCCCGACCAGCAACAGCTGCTGCAACAGCAGCAGCAGCAGCACCAACAGCTGTTGCCAGCGCAAGTAACCTCTGAGCAAAACTTTTTAACGTTGCTGCAGCTGCAGCCAAAGCGACAGCAGCAACATCAACGTCTCCTAACAACAGCAACAACCACAACGACATCAACACTTGTGCTCAGCGGCGAATGGGCGCGTCCTCGTTTATATTTATGCATCTGCTGCGGCGCCAAGTTCGAGCAGCGCAAGGCGCTCGAAGAGCACAAGACCTTTCGCCATTCGCACATCTATGCGACGCACTATGAGCTGGTCGGACGGGAGCTGCTGGCGGGCAACTTGTTGCGGCATCTATTTATGCCCAAGCGTGCGCTGAGTCGCTATGCGGCCGAGCATTGGCAGCAGCAGCAACAACTGCAACAGCAGCAGCAGCAACAGCAACAGTTGCTGCTGCACAAGCAGGAGCGTGCAATTGTTGAGGACGAAGCCATATCCAGTTCATCCAATTGTTCGGCTGTGTCGTCTGCCTTTGGCAGGGGCCGAGTGAGCGGATCGCCGTGCTCCACGGCGACAGCAACGACAACGACAACAACAGCAACTGGCAATAGCAATACCAGCTGCAGCAGCAGCAGCAACAACAACTCAACATCGGTGGAGGACAACGACAGCAGCGATATCAAGGCGAACGCCTGCTCTCCGGCCAGCCTCACCAACAGCAACAGCAACAGTCACAGCTACAGTAACAGCAACAGTTGCAGCTATACCAGCGGCAACAGTTGCAGCTGCACAAAATGTGGCCGCAAGTGCAGCGGCCTGATGGATCTCTATCGGCATATGCTCGACTGTTCGGGTGATTACGTTTGGTCGCTGGCCAAGAAACGCAAATACCGTTACTATTGTGGCTCGAAGAAGCGACGCACTGCCTGCAACAAGCCCGCCAAGCATTTCGCTCAGCTGTTGCGCAAGAACAACAAGAAGGTTAAGAAACAGGTGCCAATGCCAGCCACTGGCCAGAATCAGGATCAGGATCGGGATCGGGATCGAGATGGGGACCAGGAGCAGGTGCAGGCGAGCAACAATAATGATGCATCCGAGGAGAGTTCCAATTCAAATTCCAATTCGAATAAGACGAAAACACCGCCGCGTCAACGGCCCAGCGATGGTGAGTGTTAGTACAGTAGAACAACATATGACGAACGGCGGAGAATATGCAGGCAAAACTGATGGGAACTGAGGAGCAGTGGAAGCTTGAAAGAGGCGGTATAGGTTATTCATAGAGTAGATTTGATGAAGTACAGTGAAGTAGTCATATGACGAACGAATGAATGTAATACGGGGGAAATAATTTAATTTGAAGAACAGTTGCATATATATCTATGGGAAGAACGATACAGAGGGCTGGACAGAAGGTACATTTGCTGATGTACAGTGAAGCAGCCATATGACGCACGCTTACAACTTTATATAAAACATCTATGACAGAGATATTTCTGTTTAGTCAAGTCGTCAATTGAGTTGATTACAGTAAAGTAATTATATGACGAACTGTGGATAAAATACAGCGGAAAGGGATGGAATCTGAAGAATTGGAAGAAGGGTGATTCTGATTCTGAAGAGATTTGTTGAGAACACTTATTTCAGATATATTCGGTGTGTCATACAGTGAAACTGCAATATGACTAGCGATGGATTAAATGAAGGAAGTAATTGCCCCTGACGAACATATATGCAATAGCTATGAGTAGGGCGATTCATACTGGAGTTACACTGAAGCAATCAATAGATGGGTTTCTTGAAGAACAAGAATATAATATTTATGAGAGAAGGGATTTACCTGATTGGAATATGAGGTTTTACAGCAAACTAATCTATATAATATAGTCATAAGTGGGATAATACTTATAAGAGGGCTTGGAATAAATTAGATAATGAAAGGAATGGAATGAAGCAGGCATATGATGAACAATAAATTAAATACAACCTTGTAAGAGCTCTAGGCGAACAGATTTATAATAATAATAGTGCTATGAGAGCTACTTTTCTTCAATAATAAGTGAATCAGTGAATCAGATATATGAATTACTTAGGGCTCAGTGGAACCTTATAAAAATAATACATGAGCGAGGGACAGAGAGGTTTTACTGTACATAATAAATTGAAACTAAAAGATAGTAGATAATATGAATTAATTATATAGATCTATGAAAAACTCTATTACTATATCATTTTCCCATTTCGCTGTTTCTTTCTCTTTCTATCTGCTGTAGCTGAATCGATACGCAAAATGCTGGAGAATTTGCCGGCGAAACGCGTGTGCAAAAAGATCTTTCCGATGGACAACAAGAAACGATCGAAGAAGCAGGGCAAACCCAATAAGAAGCTGCAATCGCGCAATGCCAAGAAGCTCTACAATCATCATCATCATCATTTGCACCATCATCACCATCATCTGCATCATCATGCGCTGCGGAATACGCGCTCACGTTTGGTGCGTGCCAAGCCGGCTGCAGCAGCTGGTGTAGCAACAGTTGCTGGCGAGCAGCAGCCGCAGCAGCAACAGCAGCAGCGAAATCGCCGCAAGCCGCAGCAGCAGGTGAAAATATTGCCAGCGATTGAGGCGCCAGTCAGCACAACAACAACAGCAGCACCAGCAGCAGCAACAGCAACGACAAAAGCTTCCAGTGTAGTTGTCACAGCCGCAACGGCAACAGCAGCAGCGACAACAACAACAACAACAACTGTTGTCTCGCCCTCGCACAGCAGCAAGCAGCAGCTGATGCCAACGCCGCCCACAACGCCAGCGCCTGCAGCAACGGCAACAACACCCGCAACAACAGTAACATCAACGGTAGCAGCAGCAGCAGCCACCACAACAGTTGCTGCCAGCAAACAGCAGCAGCAGCAACAGCAGCAACCTGTGAAGCGCAGCAAGCGCATTAGCGATTGCATAGCCATGCTGACAGGGAAGCTGGAGGAGAAGCTCAAGACTGAACAGCAGCCAGCAGAGAAGGAGCAACCGTTGCCGGCAACTGAGTCCGCAACCATAGCTGCCGAGCAGCAACAGTTGCAGCCAAAGACGCCCAAACGCAAGACCATATCGAGGCGCATCATAAAGCCGCCCAGCGAGACGGCGACAGCAGCAGCTGCGACAGCGACAACAACAAAGTCAACAACAACAACAGCAAAAACAACAATAGCGGCAGCAACGCCAGCACCAACAGCAATACCAACACCAGCAGCAGCAGCAATAGTTACTAAAGTGATTGCAAGTGCAGCGGCAACAGTTGCTCCTTTGCCATTGCCTGTGCCATTGCCTATGCCTGTGCCGGTTGCTGTGCCGCTGCCCGTTGCTGTGCCCGTGCCAGTTGTAGTGCCTGCTGTGCGACGTGCCACGCCCACCAAGGCAGCCACCAAACAAATGCAGCCATATGTCAATGAACAGCAACAGCAACATCAATTGCAGCAGCAGCAGCAGCAGCAGCAACAACTTCAATTGCAGCAACTGCAGCAGCAACATCAAGCGCAGCAGCAACATCTCGTGCAGCAGCAACATCAAGTGCAGCATCCCCAGCAGCAACAGTTGCCGCTGGCAGTGTTGCCATTGCCGCTGCCTTTGCCACTGCCTGTGCCACTGCCCGTGCCTGTTAAGCTGCCTGCACCACCTCAGCCAGCGCCGGCGCCGCCACCACCGCCGCCGCCACCGCCACCACCTGCACCTGCACCAGCAACAGCTACAGCAGCAATCGCACCAGTTCCAGTTCCAGTGCCAGCTGCAGCTCCTGCTCCAGCACCAGCACCAGCACCACCACCACCAACAGCAGCAGCAGCAGCTGCAGCAGCAACATTGCTGTTGCCGAAACTGCCAATGTATTTGCCAGTGCCTGCTAACTATGTGATGGAGCCGCAGCAGCCGCTAAATCTGAGTCATGTAAAGCAAACAATTCAGATGCAGCAGCAGCAGCAGCAACAACAGCAGCAACAGCAACAGCAGCAACGCAACTCAGCAATGCCCGCGCGTCGTCAAACGATTTGCGGCTTCGAGGCGCGCAATCTGTTGCAGCTGGACGAGATGCAACCGCTGGATTTGTCCAAGAAATCCAAACGTAAATCATCGCCAGCGCCAACACCAACACCAACAGCAGCACCGGCAGCAGCAGCACCAGCGCCAGCTCCTGCAGCGGCTACTCTGGAGCAACTGCCATTGGCCTTGGCATTGCCGCTAGCGCGTGGCACCGAGGCGGCCGCAGCCGCTGCTGCTGCGCATTACTATTCCAATTTGGATCTGTTGAAGATACCGCAGGTGCGAAATCCCGTGCTGCCGCTGCCAGTGGCAATGCCCGCCATGGTCGCGCAGACGCCGCCAGTCGCCGTCAAGGCGCCGGCCAAGAAGCGCGCCTCTGAGCTGGCCAGCAAAAAGGAGAAGCTGCCCGCCACGCGCATGGACGAGGTGATCAACAATCATATCGACGATGCCATCAACTCGGTTATATTGGCCGTGCAGGCCAGCTTACCGCAGGAGGAGGAGGAGGAGCAGCAACAGCAGCAGGTGCAGCTACAACAGCAGCCACAATTGCAGCTGCATCAGCAGCAGGTGCAACAGCAACAACAATTACCGCTGGCTGTGGCGTCCAGTGCTGGCGTCTTGTTTAGCACAACAGCAGCAGCAGCAACGGCAGCACCGGCAACGGCAGCTGTGGCAGTGGCAACGCCAGCAACAGTTGCAGCAGCAGCACCCGCGGCAACAACAGCTGTCACGCCAGCAACAGTTGCCAATGCTGCTGCTGCTGCTGCTGTACCTACTCCTGCTGTGCCCGTTAGACATCTAACGCCAAAGAAGCGCAGCATGCGTTCCAAGACCATCGATTGTCGCTCGGCGTTGCTGATGACTGCCATACCGCCCACTATAACAGCCACGCCCACACCCACGGTCACGCCTACGCCGACAGCAGAGGTCATGTTGCTGCCGGAGAGCCCCCAAATGCTAGCGAATGACAATGCGGAACAGCTATTGGCATTGCCTCCAGCTTTGGTTACGCCCCCAGCGACCACGCCCACACCGCCAGCTGCAACACTGACGCCTATGGTTGCCACACCCACCAGCCCAAGGTCAGCATCGCCCAAGCGAGAGTTGTCGCCAATATCGCCGCAGCAATTACAGTTGCAGCTGCCGACAGCGATAGCAGCGCCAACACCAGCAGAGGAATCGTCGCCCGAATCTCCCATTGCTGACACGCCCACTGTGAAGCCAGCCATGCCTGTGTCTGTCATCTCTGTAGCGCCGCCCATAACACCAGCTGCGGCAACAGCAGCAGGTGTAGCAGCAGCAGCAGCAGCAACAGTTGCAGAAACTGCAACAATGGAATCAACATCGACAGAGGCAACAGCAATTGCAACTAGTGTGTGTCGCAGTGCCACGCCCAGCAGTGGGCACGAGCTCAATTGTAGTGCATTGCTCGAGGAGCACAGCAGCAACATGAACAACAACAACAACACATCGTCCGGTTTTCATAGTCTGCCCCAAACAGAATTGCTGCCGACGATTGCAACTGAGGTGGAGGCAGAGCCGGAGACAAAGCTGGAAACGAAATTGGAGGATGAACCGAAACCCGAATCTCTGCCAGAGCCAGAGCAAGAGCCTGAGAGAGCTCCAGCTCCAGCTCCAGCATCAGCATCTGCACCAGAGACTGAGGTTGAGCCAACGCCGCCCAAGGAGGATGCCAAGAAGAAGCAGCGACGTCGCCGCAAGAACGAGCTGGCAGCAATTGTTGCTGATCAGCTGCTGGAGAGCTTTAAGATCGACAATGCGCGCCGCGACAATTTGAAGAAGCTCGAGAATCTCGCGTACGAGAAGAGCGAGGATCTGTTGCTGACGGGCATGTTGCTCATGTCCAGCACCAAGCGCAATGCGTCGCTTAATCAGCAACAGTTGTTGGCCGCAGCAACAGTTGGCGGCGATGCGAAGCGCTGTAAAACGGAGAATGCGCTGCCCGAGCCAACAGCAACAGTTGGTGGTGGTGGTGCTGCTGCTGCTGCTCCTCCTGCTGGACGCGGTCGACCCAAGCGCAGGCAGAGCTGCTACTACAGGCGGGGGCGTGGCAAGGCGGCGCCATTGGGGCCGGAGACGAATATAAGTGCATTGAAATCGTCGCTGGAGAGCTTCTCAATTGGTATCGAGAAGCAGCTGCTGGCCAAGGAGGCTAAGGAGGCGGCAGCAGCCAAAGCCACGCCCACAGCAAGCTGCATACTGCGACCGAGCATCCTGTGCACCGCAGCAAAAGAGCAACAGCAGCAGAAGCAACAATTGCAGCAGCAACAGAATCTGAAGCAACAGCAGCAGCAGCAACAACAACAGCAGCAGCAGCAGCAACAACAGCAGCTACAGCCATCGCCAACAACAGCAACTGTTGCTGCTGCTGCTGCCGCCGCCTTGCCCACCTACAGTCGTGATCCGCGTCTCAATAAAAACATACACAAGGAGGAGCAACATCAGCAGCAGCATCAACAGCGACAAGTGGCAGAGCAGCATCAGCAGCAACAACAGCAGCAACAGCACCAACATCAGCAACAGCAGCAGCAGCACGGCGACAATCTCGAAGAGGAAGACAACTATCTAACGGAAATAGCTAAGAATGTGAACGAGAAGATCATGTCGGCGGCCAATGAGGACTTTGAATTTGCCAACGACGAGTTCGATCAGGAGGACAAGGACGACCAGGATAAGTTCTATCGTCCGCCAACCTCGATGAGTGTTCGCAGCGCTCCAAATCTCAATGATGAGCACTCGAATTTCGGCACCGACGATGAGAATACAAACACCGAGCTCATGGACATGGACATGGATGACGAGATGAGTGTCTATACGAGCTACTCGCAGGATGTGGGTCGCACCGGACGCGGCCGTCGGCGCCGGCGACGGCGCAGCGTGCTGCTGACACGCCGGCCCAAGAAGCGCAGCAATCGCAGCGCCCAGCTGGACGAGGCGGACAAGTTCGCCTGCCAGCTGTGCGGCAAGAGCTTCTTCACATCGACATCGCTGTCCAAGCACAACATGACACTGGCTCACGTCTCCAAGCTGTCCGAGCTGGAGTATTTGCAATCGAAGAGCAATGCGCCGCCCAGTCCACAGCCAGCAGCGGCAGTGGAGGCAGCAACACCAGCAGCAGCAACAGGCGCAACAGCTGCAGCAGCAGCATCAACTGAGCAACAGTTTGTCCAACAGCTGCAACAGCTACGCGCCTCAGTGCTTGTGCCAACAGAGGCTGCTGCTGCTGCGGCGGCGGCGGCGGCGGCTGCAGCGGCTGCAGCGGCTGCGGCAGCTGCTGCTGTTGCTACTGCTCCAGCGCCTGAAGCACAGCTACCTTCTAGTCATCATGTCATCACGGAAGAGAGTCTGCGCTTATATGACAACCAGCAACAGCAACACTCTCAACAGCAGCAGCAGCAACAACAGCAACACTCCTCGAGTCCCGCCCATAGTGCAGCCCGCCTTAATCTCAATCCGGACGAGCGTCTCTTTTACGAGTGCTGCAACATATTGAAGAGTGCCACGGCAACGGCAACGGCAACAACAACGCCCTCGGTAATTGTCAGTGCTGCCGGACGCAAGCCCGTGGAGTTGCTGACGCCCGCTAGTCCGCCAGCAGTTGAGATATTGTCGTCGCCCGCATCGCCGTCGCCGTCACCTCCGCCAGTGCCAGTGCCAGTGCCACTGGCAGCAACAGTTGCAGCTGTCTCTCATCAGCCAGTCATACAGCAGCTCTTTCGTAATCCGCCCGCTGCCACGCCCACGTAAGTGCTGCTTCTTCTTGTTGTTCTAAACTTGCCTGGTACGATTAGTAATTTACTTTTTCACTTTCTACTCGCAGCAATCACCATTTGCCGCATCATCAGCACAGTCAGCAGCAGCTGCATCAGCACAATCAGCAGCAGCAACAACATCCACAACATCCACAACATCCGCAACATCCACATCATCCGCAACATCCACATCACCATCACCATCATCATCATCACCACCATCACCACCAGCGTATGTCGCCGAGCTACTCGGCCACATCTCAGTTCTCAGCGCTAACTGCAACGAACATGACCACATCGCGCTTCAAGACCAAAGCCGCCATGAAGGGCTACGAGACGAGCGTCACGCAGCTGCCAGTCGACATGGATGTGGCCAAGACGACGCGTGCAGTCTGCAAGCTCACCGAATTGGCGGACATTGCGCTGGGCAGCGAGAAGCCAACGGGCGTGGACTATATCCCCGAGCAATTGCTAAACGAGCAGCAACAGCACCAACAACAGCAACAGCAGCATTTGCAACAGCAACAACAATTGCAGCAGCAACAGCTACAGCCAGGCGCTGCTGTCGCCGAGCAGAGCTCAACGTCATCCAAGACCATTATGCACGCCTCGTCCATAATTAAGGCCACAGTTGCAACAGTTGCTGCCAGCAGCGCCACCCTGCCGCCGGCCTCTGGGCGAATCATTATACCCGAGCGTCCGTTCAAGAACATTGGACTGGAGGAGAAGGCGCCCATTACGTTTCAGAAGCCCAAGACGAGCATTAATTTGCTGACGGAGGACAACAACAGCGTCTCCACGGCGAGCTACTCGGATCGGGATGATTATGATTTTGGTACGCTGAGCTGTGAGGATGTGGATGGTGATGCGGATGGGGATGGGGATGGAGATAGTGTGAAGCAACAGCAGCATCTGCCGCAGCAGCAACTACAACAGCAGCAGCAACAGCAACAACAACAGCAGCAACAGCAACAGCAAATGGTTAAGTCATCGACAGCGCTCGTAGCCAGCTCTAGCGGCTCCAGCAGCTCCTCTTCGTCCGGCTCAACATCGCAGCACAGCAGCAGCAGCTCAAGTCGCGCCACCGCCAAGACCTTTGAGAACAAATCGCTCATAATGGGACGCATCTTCAAGCATGCGAGCACAGCGACAACCAAACTGACCGTGAAGAGTGCGCCCAAGGATAAGGCACAGTTGGATCAGCTGTTTGATGAGCTGCGCGGAGCAGCCAAGCCGCAACAGCAGCAGCAGCAGCAACAACAGCAACCGTTGTCGCCAGCTGCAGCGCCACTCGACTGGCAGCAACAACAGCAGCAGCAGCAACAGCAGCAACAGCAGCAACAACAACAGCAGCAGCAGCAACAACAGCAACTGCAGCAGCCAGCGCAGCAGCAAAAGTTGCAGCCGGCAGCCAAGAAGAACGCCAAGGCAAGAGGACGAAAGGCAACTGGAGTAAAGAAAGCAGCTAGCCAACCGCCACGCAAAGATCTATCCAAGTTGCAGACGGAGCTGGGCATGAGCACTGAGGACTTGGAGCAGCTCATCGATGAGGGTCATCGGAAATCGAAGCGACGCTGCGCCACAAATCGACCCAAGAAGCTGGTCGAGACGTGGAGTTCCGATGAGTACGAAGAGTTCCTGTCCACCAAGGATATCATAGCTTTAATTGAGCAAAAGGAGCAGCAGGAGCAGCGACGCAAGCGCAAAACCAGTGAGGCGCAACCGGCGGAGACGTTTGCAGCGCCGCGAGAGAAAGCGGTGCAGCCCGTGACGAATGCCAAGAATCGCAAAGGACGCAAGCAGGAGCAGCAGCAACAACAACCAGTGGAGCCGGTGCTGCAGCCCAAGCGAGCGAGGCAGCGTATTACAGAGCCCGCCACGCCCACCAAGGAGACAAAGGCACCGCGTGCCAAGGCCGTAGCCAAGGCACCAAAGGCGACCAAGAAGCCAGCGGCGAGCAGCAGAAAGCGTGGCAAGCAGCAACAGGCAGCGGAACAGCAGGAACTGGAGCAGCAACAACAAGAACAACAAAAACAGCTGCAGCAGCAATCGCAACGGACGCGCAGTAGTCGACAGCAGCGAATGCGAGAAGAATCGCCGGAGCTGAATCATTGCCAAGAACAGCCGCAGTCGCATCCGCAGCAGCAACAGGAGAAGGCAGGGAGCAGTGCAAGCAAACAGAAGTCGCGCAGTAGCAGCAGCAGCAGCAGAAATAAAACTGCAACAGCAACAGCTGCAGCCGCAGTTGCAACAGCTTCAGCAGCGACGGCAGAAGCAACAGCAGTAGTTGCTGTCACAACTAACAACAACAACAATAACAACAATAGCAGCAGCAGCAACAAAAACTTAAAAACGAAAAGAAAGTCGCAAACGCATCGTCAATCGCCGGCGCGCAGGAAGCGACCGGCGAGTGAGAAACAGCTTTATTATTGGAGCAGCTCCAGCGATGATGAATTTGGGCGCATCAATGTGGAGGCCGCCGAAGCAGCTGCAGCTGCAGCTGCAGCAGCAGCTGCCGAGGCTACACAATCACAAGCTCAGTCACCTGCCGATGTGACATCCAATGAGCAACAGCAACATTCACATGCACAGTCACAGCAGCAGCAGCCACAACAATTAACGGCCAAACATTTTGATGATAGTGAGCAATATCAGAAACACGGCTGGATCGTTGGTGATTCGCACAAGAAGCTGGTTAAGCTGCTGGCCATTGCCAAGGGCAACAAGAAGGTGGAAAATTGCGGCGTCAAACGGCGCACGCCCAAACGCAAATGCTAGAAGAAGAGGAACAGTGGGAGGAGGAGAAGATGCGTCGCCGCCGCCGCCGTCGCAGCTGGCCGGGAACACTGCCAACTGCAATTCAAATATTCAATTGAAGCGGCAAACAAGAATGTATTTCATATATATTTTTTCTTTCTTTAAACAAACACATCTAAGCGTTACATTATTTAGGTTATTCTCTATTTTTTTTTTATTAAATGTATTTATAATTAATAAACAAAAAATTGCGCAAGCAACAAATAAAGATTTGAGCACAATTAAAGCTATTATCGACTTATCGAAGTTCATTGGGGCAGCAACTGCTAAGCAGCGCGGCAAACTGCTATGACTTTTTGAATTTCCAGTGCAACTAAAAATGAAACAAAATTTTTTTTGCAGTTCCCAAAACGTTATAGGGGTTTTACTGAAAAATAACTAATATATTAAAATAGCACTGACCAAAGATGTGATAATGGCCTCGCAAAGGGAGCTGTTGGCTCTGCGAAACCTTAAACATATTGTGCTGCTTTGCTTCTGGCATGCTTATATTTGCATATAATGTAAATGTTTTATTTATTTACAGTTGTTTACTTTCACCTTAGCTTCAGTAATTATTCAGGTATTTATTTATAATAAACAAATACAAAAAAAGTGAAAGTCAACTATAAGTATCGATATTTTCTGAAATGTTATCGATGGCCAGCACAAATGCAAGACAATCGATGATATCGCTTAGTTGCCATCGATTGAATTTGAGGCTCAGATTGTTTTGCAGATTGAAGCTCGGATGAGGAATATATAAAAATAGTTTTATTTTCTTAATTTTTATAACGTTTAATAAACGCATTGGAGCTGTGCAAGTGCAATAATTGTGAGTAATTGCTTAATACAGTATGTGCATAAAACTGAAGTAAAAGTTGGCTGTAAACGCCTCGACATTTTTCACTTGCGTCGGAAGTTTTCTTTCTCTCTCTCTGCTTCCAATTTTTTCGTTTTTTTTTTTGTTGTATTTTACGATGCTGATTCGTAATTGTCTTGTATACACGCTCGCTCTTTTGGTCTGCGCGCGTAAGTGTGTGTAACTCTATAAGTGTGTGTGTAAGTTTATGTGTATTTGTGAAAATGCTGTTGCTGTTGGCTGTGGCTGGTTGGAAAATAATTAAAGCAAATAAGTGAACAACTCCAATTTGTTGCACATTTCCAAGTGCCTAATTGCAGTGCATGTAAACTTGACTAAATCGGTGCTACTCTCTCCCATCGTATCTCTCTCCCTCTCTCTCTCTCTCTCTCTCTCGCTGTTAACTATTTTCCTCTCTGTGTATGTGTTGGTGGATGCTGTTGCTGCCAAAGGAGTATTAGAAGACTTTTTTGTGTGTTGGATGCCATTCTCAGCATCCACATTCACATGCACGAAACAAAGTCAAGATAAACGAACACACAACGGGAATCGAAAGCTGAATCGGGAATCGGTAAACGCTGAATCGACGACCATCGAGCTTGTGTTTGTTCGTTTCTTTTGGCTGTCCAGCCGTCCACTTATTTGTGCGCAACTGCAGGTAATCACAGAACTCCCCCAATCCTTGACTCTCTCCTGCCGTGCCCTGCCCTGTAAACCACCTTTCATTAATTCCCCTTCGATTCATGAACTACTACAACTTGGCTAAAAACTCAATGAAGTTTATAAAATTGGCAACCGATTGGGATCCATTAAACATTCGCTGCACATGCAGCTGCTGCCATCCCACATTCCCCTCATAGAGTCGCCACCGCCCCTGCTGCTGTTCGCTCTTTGCTAGACAATTGACAACAACAACAAGCCAGAAAGAGAGGCAGAGAGTTTTGTGCAAGGGTCGTCGTCATTGTTGTTGTTGTTATCGTTGATAGTGTTGTGTGAAAGTCGTGTTTGTTCACGTGACACGCAGGACACTGCGCCATATGTGGGTGTTCACATTTCGTGTGCGTATTGTTGCTTATGTTTTTGTTATTTACGTCTCCACATCGACAATCAAGCTCGAAAAACAAAAAGCTAAATAAGTAGAACAGCTTGAAATAGTTATATCAAATTGGAAATAGTACTGGATATTACAAGTTATGAAATGAAATATACATGTGCAATCGATAAGATATGCATATCATCTCAATTAGTGTATTGTTTTCCAACTCTGACTTATGATGGAGAGAAACTCGTTTCGAGTCCACCACTAATCGTATAGTTGTTGCTTTTGTTATTGTTGCTGTTGCCTGTTGTGCAGACCGGGGAATGTAGACACATATTGTACAGGAAATCTGTTGCTGGGAACCTCTGCGTAAAATACATTTTGATTCTGCGTGCTGCACTTGCAGTTTGCATTTGTGTTTGCCACTTCTTTTGCAGATGGAGCGCGAAAGGTGGCAACGCCGTAGCTTTAGAACGCACAGCAGCAGCAACTGTTTCGCATATTTGTGTAATTCTTGTAAAGCCGGAAAACTCAATTAACGTTTCGAGTGTTTTTGCTTTTATTAAAAGCGTACACACCCACACGCGCGTAGCCAACTGCAATTGCTTATAGAATTGTTGTGCGTATGTGTGTGTGTTCATTCACAGAACGTTGAAGAGAGCACATGCTATGGCTGCTAAATGTGTTAGCAGAGAGAGCAGGATAACAGGCGACAAGACCACAAATGCACAGAGCAAACGAGTAGACAGCAACAACAAAAACAATACGCCACCCACATTTGACATAACTGTCTTGTTGCTGCTACTGCTCTCTCAAAAGTCGCGCGCGCCCTCTCGCACTCGTACACAAACACACATGAACACGGATACTCGCTTATGCGCGCTCGCTCTCGTAAAATCAGTATTTGCTCTCTGTTTCTTGCTTAGTTGCTTTTGTCGCAGCAGCAGCAGCGCAGCTAACAGCAGCAGCGGCAACAGCAGAAGCAGGCACAAAAGGATTTTCAATTTGTTGCAGAACTTTTCGAGCGAACACTAAAATATAATTTAAAGAACAGACACGAAAATATAAATTAAAAAAAAAAAAACAAAAATCAAATAATGATCAATTAAAGGTGCGTGTTTGTGTGCGTGTACGTTCGTGTGCAAAGTTAACCACAAAATATTTGTCATTTCGAAAATGTGGAAATGTGTTCTTTTTTTTTGCTGCCGCTGTAGCGAGTAGGTGGCAGGACAATGTGGGGGAGGAGTAGAGAGGAGGGCGGCAGGTGGCAATTTGCATTCGACTGCGCCGGCTGTGTGTGTACGCTCCGCTAAGCGCAGGCTCTCTGCTCTGCTCGGCTCGGCTCTGTTCTGCTCTCTAGCGTATGAGATGTCCAGTCGTGGATGTATCCCAATGGAGGAGGCCCCCTCAGCCAAGTGCTTCCCTACCGCAGTTGTTGTTCTTGTTGTTGTCGTTCTTTCGGTTACTTTTTCCCTTTCTTTCATTTTCCTTTCTTCCTTCAAATTTGTATACCCTGTAAGCAATAGCTGGTCAAACATGCCGACAGTTTTTCATTCACGCATTAGACAGTCATTTGTCTGTGGCGATTCGTGAAGTTAATTCGGTGTTAACAATTTCTGTGTCCCCAATATAAATAATGAATCAAATAAGTGTTCTACGAATAGAAATGTCTTAAGAACCCATACAAAACTGGCTTATGTAGCAGCTGTAAGGCTAACATAGTTCTATTAACTATTCTTAGCGTTTGGTAAAAGTTGTGAAAATAACATTTGTTTGTTTGTTTACATTAAATGGGGTTGATTCAAATGTATATCTATAGTCTAATGACTGTATTAGGAAATCCAACTAATTATAGTTCTATTATAAGGGAATGGACTTCTTAAGTTCTCTAAGATCTCTTAATAATTCCTATTGAATCTTTTTATTGGCTTGATTAAAGTCTGGATTAATCACACGGGCTCATTCTTTGTAAACAAATTTTATCTTAATTTTATCTATAACTTCTCAAACTACCCTTGTTCAATCGAGTTAAATTGCCTACAGACTTTACAAATTGTTTATATATGTATATAAGCATCAATTAGGAAAAATCGACAGCGTATATATTTATGATTCTGTTAATATATTATATATCAAACATACGGATCGAAATATTTGTATGCATTAAAAGTTTTTCAAGGTTTCTAATGGAAACTTGTTTCAGATATTATATGACTCAGAATAAGACGAAGACTATGATATGACTAAGAGTCTCAAACCGAATGTCTATTAAAGTAATGCTATGCCGATTGTGGATAAAGACTGTATAAATAGCGCTATATAAATATAACAGCCAAAAGGCAACGTGTCAAACCTATAAAATATATTATTGATCAGCTAGATGAGTTGGGTCAATCTAGTCATGTTCAAATGTGCATGGAGAGAGAGAGAGAGAGAGAGTTTGATTTTCTTATTGTTTTACGATAGCTAATTCCATTTCTCTATCGAAAATAATCGATCGTTTGATTTGCTTTTCAATAATGCAGGAGCTAAAGATTTCGAGCACAGTAATGCATAGGATAAATTCACTGTGATGAATGAAGAGAGTTTGGATATTTTGAATTTCGGAGCCCTCCAACACTTCCCACAAAATTGGAAAAGAATACAAATATTTTACAAATAGCTGAGATCATCGAACATAAATGTAATTATAATGCTCTAAAATTTGGATTTAATACAAGATCAATATGAACATGATCTTCTAAACAAATTTTTTTTTTTTGTATTAATCTAATGATTTTTTCAACTCCATCTACAGGTACAACAACAAGATGCGTCAATTCAATATTTCGGTCATTGGACTATCCGGGACCGAAAAGGATCGCGGCCAGGTCGGCGTTGGTAAATCATGTTTGTGCAACAGATTTATGCGGCCAATGGCCGATGATTATTTTATAGATCACATATCAGTGCTAAGTCAAAGTGATTTTAGTGGTCGCATTGTGAATAATGATCACTTTCTTTATTGGGGCGAGGTGCGCAAGACGACGGACGAGGGCGTTGAATATAATTTCAATATAATCGAACAAACAGAATTTATGGATGATTCGACATTTCAAGCGTTCAAAGTCGGCAAAATGGATCCGTATCTGAAACGCTGTACAGCGACTAAGGTCTTTTCGGCAGAGAAGCTGATGTATATATGCAAAAATCAATTGGGCATCGAAAAGGAGTACGAACAAAAGGTGATGCCCGATGGACGCTTGAGTATCGATGGCTTTGTCGTTGTGTTCGATGTGAGTCCAGTGCCAAATCGTAGCGTTGAGAAGCAAGTGGAGTTCGTACAGAATGCAATTGCGAATATATTGAAGAACAAGAAGCCGCTTGTCCTGGTGACTACCAAGAATGACGATGCCTACGAGCTGTATGTGCGCGAGGCGGAAAAGATTAGCCAACGCAAGGATTACAAGAGTACGGTGCAATTGATTGAGACGTCGGCACATGAGAGCATCAACATTGATTTGGCATTCCTGATGCTAGCCCAAATGATTGACAAGGTGAAGAATCGCGTCAAGATCGTTTCGTATCAGGAATCGGCCAAGTCGCGCAAAGAATTGCTCGACATTAGGTCGGAGGCCGTAACGCGCTTGATACGAAATCAAATCACCGATTATCATATATTGTGGTCACAAGGCTCAAAGATGCTATCACAGTATCGCGAATGGAACGAGTTCCTCAACATATTCGGACACGAGGCCGGACAGAAGCTATTCCGTCGTCACATGAAGAAACTGCGCGACGATCATCTCAATAAGAAACTGCATCAGTATTTGGACAAATTTGCACTGGCACTCGAATATCTATTGCCCGATATAAGTGCATTGAACATTAGCGATGATGATGCCTGGGAATGTGCACGCAACTATTTACAGAATCATATTGAATTCGATCAGTATTTCTATGAGTTTCCGCAAGTCAGCTGGACGGACTTCCTTGACATGGATGTGCCAGACGATGAGACACGTATACCCTTTGATGTGCTGGAAACGAATGAGGCAGAGACCGTATTTCGTAACTATTTGAATTCGGTGCAGCAGGACAAAAAGAAAATTGGGTAAGACATGGGGGAATGACTTTACTTAATCTGAATAGAATTGGGATAAAATCCACAGCCCTTTCCTTATGTCTAATTCTCGATAGGTTTAGCCTTTCTATGAATAAGAAATATAATATAAATATATAGACTTTAAACACCATAGTTTATCTATACCACAACTAATAGACAAATCATTTGACTTTGCAGCTGGAAGCAACAGTTCAAGATGCTGCTGGAGGAATCTGGCTTTGTGACGCCCGGTAAACAATTGTCGGAGGTGCGTGTCCTGTTCATGGGACGTGAGTGCTTCGAGGCGTTATCCGAACACGACTGCCAACAGATCTATGATATACATCAGGACGAGATTATTGAGAAGAGCAAACAGAATTTTGTTGAGCTGCTGCTGGAGCATGCGCAATATTTTCTCCAATTCAAGAATGTGGACATCATCACACAGGAGGATGTTAGACAGATAACCGATGTTATCCAGGAGGATTCTCGCTACAAAATGTTGGATCGTTTGGATCAGGAGCGACGCGTGATGTTGGTGCAACATTTACGCTTCATCCACTGCCCCATTAGGGATCATTGTCCGTTCTTCAACAATTGTGTGGACAATCTGATTGAGGAGGTGCTCGCTGACAAGTCCGCGACCAATCATAAGATGGGCGGCAATGTTGGTGGCGGCGGTGGCGGCTGGAAAACCACTGGCAATGGCTCCGAGCGTACATTGAATCTGTTAATTGTCGGCTCCGAGCATTTGGCCAGCGATTTACTGAACGATATTCGCATATGTACGGGTAGCAAGGGTGAATATATCTATGAGAACCAAACATATTATCTCAATTATCGCATTGCCAATGGCGATATGGAGGCATTCAAAGCTATCGATGTCTACTCAAGTGGTAAGACAAAACTAAAAAAAAACTGTAATAATTATACATATTTATATCTCTCCATATTATTGTAGGTCTCATTTGTGTTTACTCAAATCAGCAATCGTTTGAAACGCTCAAGGATAATTTAGAACGCACACTCTTATGCAATTTAGAGCTGGAGGATAAATTTGAGAATTTGCCAATTGTTTTAGTCTATCAGCCGCAAGATCTGAAAGAGAATGAAGTTGAATACTTGCGCAGCGAGGGCATGCGTCTATCAGAAATGTTGCATTGCGACTTCATAGATCATACGCAGAATCATCAGAAATATGTTTACGATATACTCAATATAGTTATACTCTCATTGAAGCTAAGCGAAATGAAAAGCTATGAACCATATCCATCGTCCAATCATACCGATCTACGCATACTTGTCTGCATCTATTGCGGCGATCAATATGATATCGAGAACATTGTCCAGCCACTGTTAGCCGAATCGACGCTGGTCAAAGCCAATGAGCACTGCATCATTGTCGATGTCTTCATTGGCGATGCCAAACGGCGTGTGGAATTTATTTTATCTTCGTACCATGGCACCAATCAATATCGGGATGAACTTATCCATGGCTATATATACATATATTCGGCAAAACGACGCTCATCGCTGGCCAATCTCAAGTGAGTGTCGCACACTACTATATAGCTATGGAACATATTGTTTATAATCCCCATTTATATTGTTTGTATTTCCATAGCATTTTGGCTGCACAGAATGCAAACATTCCATTGCAATTAGTCGCTGTGACGGAGAGTGGCGGTGTTAATGCTTTCTTCAATAATGAAATCTGTCAGTTTCTCATTACCGAGGGCAATGCGTTGGCCGATCGCTACAAGGGCAGCTTCATGACCTTCTCAGCGGATCAATATGTCAAGTGTATGTGTCTATAGACTGTATATACTATAATTTAGACTGATTCTAATTTAAACTCTCCATCTCTGTCATTTATTTAGTCGCCTTCTATAATCCATTCTTGAAGATCGCATGGGATAACAAGTACGAGGTTGAGAATCTGCATGTGGAGGAGTCAATTACTTTAGATTCGGGCGAGGGTACGCTTGAGAATTCGGTTAATCAAATGCCACGCCCACCGCCCAGACATGAAAGCTATATGCTATCGAATACACTGGGCACCGATGGTTCAGGCAGTGAGAATTATGAAATGCTTCCTACACGATCTCTCAACTCATTAAATGGTTAGTTGCATGTTATCCACTCTTATAGCACACTCTTATAATATTTCATTTTGTAGAAGAAAGAGATATATCACTAGATGAAATCTATGATGACAACAACGAAAAACCCAAACACCTGCATCAAAGTAAGTTAACCAATAGTTACTTAATAAATAACAATATTTAACTATATATATACATATATGTATGTATATGTATATATACTCAATACTATCTACAGACATACTATAAGATAATCTATACATAAGTCCAACTATCCATATCCATATCATATGAAATACAATATCCAATCCAATCAGTCAGCATATGTATATAAACATGTATGTCGTATATATGCGACATTTACAGCTCATGCATTGTGAGTCTCACTTACAATCTGATACCCTGTAAACAACGATACTCAACGGGCTGGCATGGACAGTAAAATGAAAGATGAAATATCACATGAACAAAGCACGACTTTACAGTTTAAGTCCCAAAACGTTCACTTGGCTTACAAAAAATATCGTGTAAAAGCCGTTCCTTGAAATCAGAAGACCCTATTTTTTACAGTATTCGATTTTAAAATTGTTTCTATGCTTCGGACGCTGAAAGATTGGTCATGTTACACGGATACCCTGTAAACACCACTAGATAACTTCGGCAGTCTCGGTACAAATAGTTATGTCATATGGCAAAGTTTGACAGATGTATACTTTATACCTTGTAGTATTTTGAATCTCTGAATATTTAATCAACTAACTGGCTGAAGCAATTTGATTAATTTCACTGATAATATGCCGTAAAATAGAGTTTTTTATTGACTTGGACTGTTGAGCTCTAGATTTTCACAGATTTTGTATTTGGCTATAAATCGAAACCAAATGTTTATTTACAGGGTATACAGCCTTTGAGTCATTGATTGCAAAGACTTTCTTAAGTACCCTGATCCCAAATATATTTTTACATACAAACCATAAATATACTCTATGTAATACTCTCTTTCTCTCTCTCTATATATATATAAATATATATAATGATTACCATATATATTATTAATGATTAATCATAACATTTGTTTTTTTTTTTTTTTTTTAATCGATTTATCTCTGTGTGTGTGTGTGTGTGTATTCGTTGTTGTTATTGCCTATTGAATATCAAAATAACTATTATATATACTAAAAAATATAAAAAATATATATATCGAAAATATATCGAAAAAAAAAAACAGGATTCCAGATATTCCCTCCTCCAACAACTCCTCCAGAGCCAGCCCCTCCAGATCATCAGCTCATTACATGCACATATAAGAGTCAATTCGTTTCGGCTTCAGAATCAAGTTTGGAAGAGATAACATGTAATCTAACTAATTGAATATTTTCTTATATACTCGTTTATATCGTATGATATCGTAATATGCATCACAAATTTTACTTCGGTTTTACTTCCTATTAGTTTCATTCTTTGTTATAGTCATTTTCTTTCTATTCCTTTTATTTGTTTTGTTTGTGCTTCTACTCGTTTTGGTCTTCGTTTTACAGCCAAGACGTAAACTGTAAATGTTGTTTGCTCATTCATAATAATATTCTACCCAAGTCGACCGACCCCAACCGCCACCCTCTCTACACCAACCACACCACAGCCCCGACTTAACCCATTCATATGCTCGATTTGTATAAATACCTCATCATCATCTTTATATATCATCATATTTATATATATCTAAAAAAAAAAAAAAAAAAACGAACCCTGCATAACCACAATTTCATTCATTCAATGCACTTACAGAAAGCTAAAGGTATTTTCTATATATCAGTTATATTTTTATACTTTTTAGCTGGTCTGATTCCAAGCAAATTTAAACTAAATTAAAAAGCTTAGATAGAGAAGATGAAAATTCTGTAAACAATTTTAAACATATCAGATAAAAGCTTGGTATATATCTTTAAAATGTTTTCTGTAAGGGTATTCTTGCTTCGGATTCGATCGAACTTTGCTTTTCTTTTTTTTTTTTTTTTTTTTTTCCCCTTTTCTGTCTCTCACCTTATGCAGCTATAGTATCCATAAGAATATATATATGTATATGCATATATATATAATACACTACCAACTTTTTCTTTGGCCTCAATTGTATATAGTTTTTCTTTATATTGCGTACATTTACAATAGTTTTCCATTTTATTTTCTTTTCTTTTGATTCCTTTTCAACTTAGCTGAAACTTAAAAAAAAAAAAAAAATGAAAAACATGCTCTAACTACTGCCATTTGATGCATATTATATTTTCGTTGTTCTTGTTGTTGTTTTTTCCATTTTCCTTTTCTTTCATGCCTTATTTGGGCATTTCTTTGTTCTACTCATGCATTTCATAAGCAGCGGATGTCAGCGGGTCAAAGGATTCATTGGCCACCCACGACGCAGGTTAACTAAACGTTCCAATACTTTTAAATGGCTCATTCAAATGAGCTTGCTACACTTATTCAGTAGATCAATAAACAATCAAGTTCACTCACGTCATGAATGATATATGTACCAAATTTTTTACTCTTTCTTTTTTGCTTGTTCATGAACTATACATTCCCATTAGATTGCTTAATTGTTCATGAACGAAAACTGAATGACCAATACGAATAATAGGCGCTAGTGTTCGTTGTTTAAGCAATGACCAGTTAGAATGTATCGATAGAGTGCGCGACTAACTATCGATCAATCAATTGGAATGTATCGTTCATGACTGACTCGTGAATAAACAGCACGATCTATGTAGCTCACGATTCGATAATGAACGTTTAAGTTTATCAAAATTGAATGTGATAAAAATAAGCAAAAGCAAAAATATAAATAAATAAAAGTCTTTGGCACGACCTTTAGTGATCCCGAATTCCCTACATACAGGCTTTAGAGAGTTCTGTAAATTTCTGCCTCGCTCGCCTTTTAGCTTTACCTTAATGTTAACATTATTATTATCAGAAAAAAAAAACTTTACAAAAATGGTTTGCATAATTTACAGAATGGCTGGAGGATAAAAGCGATGCACGTCGCAATGCAAACAAGAACTCCATCTGGAATAATTTTAGCGGCTCAACGCATGCGTATACCACAGGCAGGCGGCATATTGATTCCAACTTGAATAAGATACGGCCCAAAGGACCCAGCCAAACGTTGAAGGTGGGTGAAGCGCCCAGTCGTAACTGTGCCATGAGCTCTTCAACTTTCACGCTACCCACACAGCAACCGGGCAAGCTGAATATGAAGAACTTTCAGCTGGTTAGCGATGCCGTCGCCAAAATGAACTTCACCAGCAGCGGCAGTATGGGAGAATCCTATTTGGCCGGCTGTGAGCCCGGTGGTGACAAGGATGCCAAACGCTATGATCATGCTCAGCTCGATGGCGAGGATGAGGACTCCGAGGAGCTTGCCGAATATGAGCAAATTTATGAAAATGAAGGTGCGTTTAAGAAGAAGATATAGAGGAGAAGAAAGAAGATGAAGATGAGAAAAACTACTACAACCGGTACATTGTAATATTATTTAAATGATACCCTGTAGAACTATGTATAAGGGCGTAATTAGTTACCACATACTTAACGACGCTAATTTACTGACAATGTAAGGGCTTTGTCTGTCCAGTTGTGGGTCTCTGAAAGATACGATTATATATTCGTAATAAGTCAAGTGCATGAGCTGTAAATTCTATACTGTAAAAACAATTCGGTTTGGGGCTCTAATCACTGTCTTTACTATAGAGTATATATAGACTCTTACACTTTTTTATATGAAAATATGGGATATAAATCACATTGCGAGCTTGAATCTAATGCATTCTCTCATTTCTTTTCATTCCAGCAGACTGCACCGAGTCGGATAGTTGCGCCAGTTCAACGGAGCGCCGCGTACGTCAGCAGAATGCCTACTACAAGGCCAATAAAAAGGCCGGCACCACCACCAAGAAGAACAAGAAGAAGAAGGTGGCCATACCGGTGCAGACGCCACGTGTGCCACCATTTGGTGCGTATGTCAGTCCACCGGAGATACCGTTGCACTATCAACGTATGGCCGCTGCTGCGGCTGCAGGTGAGAAAAGTATGTGTCGTGCTTTATTATTTGCATTTCTTCTTCGAGTTGCGCTTCAGTTCAGTCAAATGCTAAAACAACTAACAATTTATGGAAGCCTTTAAGAATAAGTATTTTATTAACCTGCGCCTTAACATTCACATATGTATAACACTACGTAGGCATGATCTATGTGTGTGTATTATTTTGTCACTCTAAAATTTACTTTATTTTGATACCTTAAATATAAATATGCTAACATGTATAAAACATTTTATGAGCTTAGTCTCTTCAGTTCAGAATTGCGATTCAGCTGGTATTTGGTTAACATTGACCTTAACATTTATAAGACTCCTTTTTATTAACCCTTTTTTTCTGTTTTTTAGAAAAAGCTGATTCTGGCGTGGTACCCGAATTCATGAAAAGCGACAAATCGCCAGAGGTAAGAGTACTGTCTAATCGAATATAAACTATATCTAAATAAATTCCGATTCGCTTAGTATTCCATGGTGCCGGAACTAACTGCAGTCAGCATATTTGGTGCTGAGAACTTGCCCGAATACAATATGAATTCGAAATGCTTAAAAGATTTCGAGAAGCTGGAGAAGCGACGCATCAAGGAGGAGCAGGCACGACTGCGCAAGCTGCAGGAGAAGGAGAAAGAGCAGGAGAAGAAGCTCAAGCGTAAGCTCAAACAGAATGCCAAAGGACTAACCGAAACAACTGAAGCCCAATTTGGCAAACTAATGATCACATCCGATAAGGACGAGATACCCATATTCCTGATCAAATGCGTTGAATTCATTGAGAAGGAAGGACTCGATTCCGAGGGCATCTATCGTGTGCCAGGCAGTCGAGCACATGTCGACATGCTATTCCAGCGTTTTGAAGATGGTAAAAGGACTAACAATATATATATATATGTACTGAAAAGCTAATGTATATGATTCTTGATGTTAGATACCAATACAATTATTGATGTGCTGGATATACCGGTAAATGCGGTGGCCACTGCGCTCAAGGACTTCTTCTCGAAACGTTTACCACCGCTGTTCAGCAAGGATATTATCAAGGAGTTGGAGGAAATAGCCGGTCAGTCCAGCACTCCTTGAATCTAAATATAAATGTGTTTTTATCTAAAATTTGTTTTCTCCAGGCTCTCGTGGTGTTGGCTCCTCCAAGCTGAACGTTGAGGTGAAAACAGATCGCAGCTGCCGTTTGATAGCTTTAAAGTCCTTGCTACAAAAACTACCACCCATCAATTTCGCGATTCTCAAATACATATTCCAGCACTTTGTGCAGTAAGTCACAAAGCCTTTATAAAGATTATATTAACGATTTTTGATGTGTTTCTCTTTCTTTTTTCTTGCAGCGTCTCGGACAACTCGAAGCTAAATAGCATGGATAGCAAAAATTTGGCAATTTGCTGGTGGCCCACTTTGATACCCATTGATTTTACAGATATGGGTCATTTTGAACAGTTACGTCCATATCTTGAGGACATTGTTCAGACGATGATCGATCAATTTCCATATCTATTCTGTGGCAAAGATGCCTTCGTTATGGTTTAAAACGGATGCACAAAAGATGATGAAGACGAAGCAGCAGTAGAGCAGATCTATATATAGAGACAGGCTTTGAAGAGAACCCATCGATCGATTTAAAGATCATAAAAAAAAAGAAAAACTAAACATAAAACCGAACAAAAGAATATATATGTGTGTAACGTCAAACAAAGCAGGCAACAAAAGTCGCGAAAGAAGAAAATGTCAAATTTTTGTAAGCGCAACAGTATGAAAATGCATACATATATATATATACTCCAATTTATATATTTATATATGCATACATATATATATGTGTGTATGTTCACATCATTTGAATGTGTATATGTGTGCGTGCGTGTAAAGTATTTGGTATAAAAAGTATAAACCAATTAGTTAAGTAGGCTATATTTATTTTATATATGTATGTGAATATATATGTATACATGTATATGTATGTATATATATGCATATATACATGTATTCATATATATATATTTATATATGAGAATTATATATATTTTGTATTAATGGCTTTGTTGTGTTTCCGTGATATGTGTAAACGCATAGGGTTTTTTGCGCCCGATCTATTATATATAACGATATATATACATGTATATGTGTATAAGTGTGTGTATGTATATCTATGTATGCACATATGTCTGCATAGAATCTTGCATATAAAAAATTATTAATTGTGTATTGTATGTTAAAATGTATGTTATAAAAAAAGAAAAAGAAAAAAATGTGTATATATGTATTTAAATATTTATATATATTTAAATACATATATAGATGTTGAGACATGAAGCAGAAGCAGAGGCGACTTGAGCTAACAGAAACAAGAAAAAACGAAAATGAAAACTAAAATTAAAAACAAAAAGAAGCAAACAACAATTTCAACTACTACAAATTTGAATCTCTATATGTATTGTGAATGAGACAGAGCGAGAAAGGGAGTGCGTGATCGATCTCACTCCTTGCAGAGTGAGTGAGTGCGAATGAGTGCGTGTCTCTCGAAAGAGAGTATGAGATGGAATGAATGAATGCATGCTTGTTTCTTCTATATGTATTTAAATGAATAAGAAACTCTAAATATATATGTATGTATGCATATGTATTGAATTGTGTCTAAAAGATGAAAATGTATTAAGTATTAGCGCTAAATTATATGATAATATTAACCTATTAACGACCCCTCGGCCCCTGCTCCGACACCGCCTCCTACACCCCTATCCCCCGACCCCCTTCTCACAGGATCAACATTGCAAGTAAAAACGAAAAATAATTACAAATTCTTTGTCTCTTAGCTCGCAGCTATTATATAAATGTGTGCTCTACTTACATATATATACAACTCTATATATGTGTATATATATATATGTATATATATATACACATTTTATGTATGTGTGTATGTATTTATATGTATTTTAAACTAAATAAAAAGAAAACGACAAGAAAACGAAATCTAGACAACATAAGCATAAGTGTTATTCCTTGTAATTGAGCATTAATTTTTTATAAAAACTAATTACATATATATATACATATACATATGCATATATATGTGTACAAACATATATATGTATATATATAATTATATAATTGTGTATCTTGTGTCTGGAACGGACCTCAAACTTAAAGCGAAAGAAAAAACAAGACAAAATTAATGAAAAATGACAACAAATGCGAAAACAGAGAGCAGAGAATGAGAAACAAAAAAAAAAAACAAAAACAAAATAACCAATATATAGTATAATTTGTATAGATATGTGTGTCTATTGCATTATTTGTACACGATTTGTGCATGCATATATATATATATATATATATATATATATATGTATATGGATTCATATATATGTCTGTGTGCATTTATTTATATATACGCCTAAAAAACAAAACAAAAAAAAAACGAAAAACAAAAAAATCGCAAATGTCTCAAAACAAAAAACAAATGTAATTCGACGTGATGTGTAATATTTTTAAAAGCAAATTTTATGCCCCCCATTAAAACGAAAACAAAATCCTAGCCACGCCCTCTCCCTCGAAACCCAGCGCTCCCCATATATATATAAATATATATATATATATATTTATATATAGATATGTGTGTATACAGCTATATATGTCAGGCTATGGAGTGCGAAAGAGTAAAAAAAAAAACGAATAAATAAATTTGTGGGCATTTTCCAAATATTTGTGAAGCATTTACAGTTTGTTGTTTCTTTATTTTCTTTTTTATTAAAATAAAAAGTACTATTATGCTAAGGATTGGGGTATATAATGAAGCTACTAGCAGCTGGCGAGCACAACTGGGATTCTAATTGGGTTTGGTAACGTACTGCTCGTACACCTCCTCCGCTTTCCTATATGAGTGCTCCAGCTGCTGCTTGCTCATCATTTGACTGCTCCTGACAACGCTCCTGCTCGAGCTAAGCTTTTCGCTATATGTACCTGCCTTAGCTGGCCAGCAAATTGGCTGCTATGGCTTCTGTATCCATAAGCGTTAGCTTATCTGTTATTCTAGACTTCTTAAAGACAGGTTCATCATCATCATCATCGTCGTCGTCTTCATCTTCTTCATCGTTCTGCTGTGCAACCTCTTTCTCCTTCTCCTCCTCTTCATCCTTCTCGTTTCTCTTTTTATATATTTTATCAGGATCTGGCAGCCAAGACAAGTCCACCGACTGCTCACTCTCGCTATCCATGTCCAACGGCTGTGCCTCATCTTCGTCCTGCTCCTCATCGTCGTCGCTCTGCTGCTGCTCAGCCTTCTTGCGCAGTTTCTCGCGCTGCAGCTTATGACGTTTCTTTACGAGCTCACGGAAACGCTGCTTATCGTATTGATCCTCCTCGTTGAGCAGCGCCTTGGAGAGCATCAGGTTGATGCCGCCATCGTCATCCTTTTGTGTTTCTTGTTGCTTCTGTTGCCTGGTTGTCAGCGCCTTCATTTGATTGCGCTCATCGGCAAGCGTTTGGCCATCCTCGTCGAATTTGAGCTTCGAATTGATCTGTAGATTCTTTTTGATCGCCTTCTTGGCCAGCGCTGCTTTAGTCACAAGCTTCTCGCGCTTGGGCACTACAAGCGGCTCCTCTGGCTCTTCGCCCATCTGTTGCTCCAGTTTAATGGGATCGCCTTCCACATCATGATCGCGCCGCTTGATCTTTATAAAGTCATCTTCTTCCTCTCCTGACCCATCATCACCATCATCGTTGTCGTGACCAAAGCCTGTTGTTTTATTGGTTTGCTGCTCCGGCTGGTTCTGTTGCTTCTGTCGCCACTTCAGCTTCTCGATGAAGGGCACTCGAGGCGTGACAGCCAATCCCAGGGACTGGGCATAGGCGTCCAGGTCAAGGTTAAGCACATTAAACAGTCGCTTATTGCGCATTAGGAACACAGACTTTAGATACGAGAGGAAGGCACGTTGAGCCGAGGCGCGCAAATCGGGAAATTGTGCGAGGAACGCTTCGATTTTGACGCGGGGCGAAAACAGTTTCTTGGGATCAATGTGGACAGCGGGTATATCAAGATTGAGCTGTTCCTTTAGAGCAGCAATCATGTACTCCTCTTCGCTGGGCGTCAACACCAAAAGGCATTCGCCTCGACTTTTGTTGCGTGCCGAGCGACCTGCTCGGTGGATATATTGTGGTACATCTTCTGGACAATCTAATTGCAGCACCCAGTTGACAGAGGGAAAGTCAAGGCCACGCGAAGCCACATCTGTGGCAAACATGACCACATGGCTCTTGCGCAGAAAATCCTCATAGATGGCAATGCGGCGATCCTGATGCAGGGTCCCATAAAGTGCTAGCAATCCAACGCCTGGACGCAATTTACAGAAGATCTCATACAAATATTTCGCCTGCTTGCAGCTGGCAACAAAGACAATGATCTTCTGCTTTAGATGATTCTTAATAAATGACCAGAGCATAGTCATTTTCTCCTCCAGCGGTATAACCACATAGCTCTGCTGCAGCAGCTCCGGCAAGGCTAGCACAGCTTTAGATCCAGATGGTTTTGTGTCTACGGACTTGGCTGCTCCATAGCCCACGTACACTGGATCTTTTAGGTTGAGCCTTGCCAAATCTTCCAGTGTATTGGTTTGCGTTGCCGAAAACAGTAACGTTTGACGATCTGGTGGAAAGTTTTCGATTATGGAATTGAGCGTTTTCTGAAAGCCCATGTCCAGACAGCGATCCGCCTCATCCAGTACCAACACTTCCATTGTTGTTGTATTAAACAAGGGATTTTCGTCCATGTGCTGGAGTAATCGACCTGGTGTGCATATCAATATATTGCACTGATCCATGCGCGTGCGTTCAAATTTAAGATTCTTGCCGCCTATAATGAGGCCCGCAGAGAAATCATGATGTTTGCCAATTTTCTTTAGTGTTTCGAAAATTTGGTAGGCTAGCTCGCGAGTTGGTGAGATGATAATAGCTCCAACTCCATCCGTACGGGACCATTTATTCATATACAAATGCTCCAGAACCTACAAGTATAGTTTTCTTATATTATGGAGTACATATGATAATGAGTAGTCTTTTTAGTCAATCTGCACTTACGGGTATAAGAAAGGCCAATGTTTTGCCACTGCCTGTGATAGCTGCTCCAAGTACATCTTTGCCCTGGAGCGCGTGTCCTATACTTAGACGTTGGACCTCAGTAGGCGTTGTGTACTTGGCCTCGGATAAAGCTTTTTGTGTCTTCTGTGACAGTGGAAACTGGGCGAATGTTTTAATCGTCTCTGGGTCGATTTCATTATATTTGGCTCGCAGTTCTTGGATTTCAGTTTCGGTTGCGGCCAACTTAGAGCGAGACAGTTCTTTAGCACGTTTCTGATTGTGTTGCTTGTTGTTGGGTCTTTGGCTGCCGCCCGGCTTGGATGGCGCACGTGATCCTGGTTTTCCAGGACCTCGAGGCTTTTGTTTTTGCATGCCGCTCACTTTATTTGTAATTGTTAAAAGCAAAACACGTTTAGATCACACTACGATGACTGTTGCACGCGGGTAAGTACATCGATATGCTATCGATAGCGTGAACTTCGCGATACTTATGAGTTCACTTTACCTTAAAATAACAATAATGCTGAGACATTTGTAAAATAATGATTTATAGCTAGCTAATGAAACATAATCTATAAATCAAATATTTTTAGCAGGAGCTTCATTCAAGATTTTTAGGAATAAACTTTATATTCGCTTTTAAATATGTATCGATAATTTTTATGTCTGCAACATACTTTTCGACATATCAACATGTCTATGAATAATTATATTCGATAGCCGTAAACCGATTTTTGGTTACACACGAGATTAGAGATGGCCAATATTCAAACAGACAGCTGTCGCAGCATGCCATTGGAATTTGCATGAAAACATGATATTATATGATATGTCGCTTTTACCTTATATTTCTGCAACCTACAGATATTTTATAAGCTTAATATACATACATCATATAGAAGATTCTGCCACATATCCTTATCAATATTACACGATATTCGTGTGACACGATGCTCACGAGGAGTCATCTCAACAATCACTAATCTATCGTTCATCAGTAGGTTTGGTGGGCTGGCTGGATGGATGGCTGGTGCTACAAGCAATATTGTTGCTCAAGGATCTGTATCTACAATAAGGTTGGCCCACAATATATATACTAAATATGTGTTGTGGTGCAACAGTTCAAAATATTAAATCGGGCGCGCGCGGCGTGAGATGTGTTAAATGAAATTAACAACGGCTGGCTGTGAATTTTTTTAGAACTTCCTTCCACCAATCAGCAACTGGCCCCGGCCCCCTACTCCCTCTCTCTTTCTTTCTCTCTCCCACTCTCTCTTTCTTTCCTCTCTTGCTCTGTCTATCTTTATCTCACTCATCACATACAGCATTGTCGTGAACTGTTGTGCGAATTTGTCGAATGTGAAATTTCAATTGTTGTATTAATACAAGTTGCTACTGCAATATGGGCACTATATCATCCGTACTGCAATGGTCGTGCGCCAAATGCAATACCATAAATCCGACCGAATCATTAAAGTGTTTCAATTGTGGCACTGTGCGTAAGGTATTCCCCAGCCCTACCGCAACAATCTATCAGCAAACGACACAATCGCGTTCTCAGCCATCGCGACACCAAAGCAGTTGGATACATCAACAGCAGCAGCAACACCAACAACAACAGCAGCAGCAATATCAACATCGTCAACAACGACATAACGAAAACCTGGTTGCAGGCTCTGCAGAGCTGGCCGCCGAGTGTGATGAGGAGGAGGTCGCGACAATTGTTGATAAGCACAAAGCTGTGACCAGGTAAGCACACATACATACGTACAGCCATATACAGACGTATGCATACACTTGTGCGTGCGTGCATGTGTGCGGGTGCACACAAAAGCTCCAGCCATCGTTTACCGTTACACCAAACAAAACTGAAACTGCATGTGTGTGGGTGTGCGTGTGCATGCGTGTTTGTCCTTTTCTTGTTCTCTCTGGCTTCCCCTCTGTGGGTAACTACGGGTGTGTGTGTGTGTGCATATCCGTGCGTGTCTGTTTGTGTATTGTACACAGAGTATACACAATAACAACAACACCAATAATTGAAGTAACTGCAGCAACAACAAAAAAGCTGTAAAAACTGTCTTTCTTTTTATAGTTTTTTTTTTTGGGTTTTTGGGGAAAATCGATGGAAAAGAAACGCAAGTTTGTTTACAATTTTATTGATTCCGAGCTTTGGCTGCGCGTCACAAGTGAAAAGGCACAACAAAAAACAGACGATTGATTAAAAAAAATGTATATAAACTAAAAAAGTAATTGCAACATTAGTGCAAAAATAGCAGAAGAAGCTGCAGAAGAACGCTTAATAAAATTGAGTGATCTGGCCACATTGAAATCAACTTTTTGCAATTCCAATTTCGCATTTGCAGCTTTGACAGTTAACCAAATTTTAACTGTTTGCCCATTTGCCCTTGCATATGTTTTGTTTTTGGATTCGCCTTTTTGTTCGTTCCCAATTTGCTCTCTTATTGCAGAACTGAGCACAACAACCAAAAGCAACAACATCCCGGGCACGTTTACAAATCACTGCTGCGCGGCTGTTTGAAGCGTCCGCAACGCAATAGCCAAAATTTACCAGCCAATTGCATTGACTGCGAGGAGACGCGCAAATATATTAAGAACTCTATCGAGTTATATCGACATTTTTCGAATCCGGCATTGAATCGGCGCTGGATTTGTCACGCCTGTGACACGGACAACAATTCAGTGACATGGCATTGTGTTATCTGCGATACCGTTAGTTATCTGGCACCCATCTATAAGGAGACATTATGCACGCGAAGGCATGAGTCAACGGCAGCAACTGGAGCAGCAACAACAGCAGCAGCATCCGCCGCAGTCACAGCTGGCACACAGCTGGAACTAAGTAGCAGCAGCAACAGCAACAGTGGCGTCGGCGCCAACAGCAGCAGCGGCGGCACAGCCGGCGCTGAGCAACAGACAGCAGAGGAGTCACTTCCACATCATTCGCAGCTGGATGCACAGTCGGAGGAGCAACATTCCAATCGGCGTCATTTGAAATCTCGCCGTTTCGCCTACTTTCGACGCACCCAAAGTCTGAGTAATTCCATAGATAAGAGCCCAGCCCTGACCCAGGCGGCAATCGCCTCTTCATCCTCATCCTTTGCGGCCGCCTCGGCACGCAGCTGTCACATTTGCTACGTCAGCAATTTGGGTAAAGACATTTTCAATTTGCCCTACGCAGCATCAATCAGCTATCAGCAACAACAGCAACAGCACCAACCACTGCAACAGCAACAGCAGCAGCAGCAACAGTTGCTGTCACACAAGAGCAGTAAGTTCTGGCCCAACCACACCTAGATCCAGCTCATCTCATTGACTCTCCTCTTTTTTTCCAGCTGTTGCGGATGCCATACAGCGCTTGCCGCCGCCGCCCGTTGCTTGCAGCAATTCGCGGTTTGCCATCGCCAATGATACATTCTGTCGTCGCAAGCAGAACAACAACAATAAGAATCTAAACAATAAAGTTCGCGACGGCTGCGCCAAGAAGAAGTATAATTTTACCATAACAACGCTCTCAAGATCAGCCAAGGGATCCACGGCAATAACAACAACAGCAGCTGTTGCAACTGCAACGGGAGGAGTAGCAGCAGCAGCTACAGCTGTTGCAACTGCCGCTGCTGGCGCCGTCAAGCCAATGCGACAGTCGCAGCTTAAACAGCGTGAGTTGAACAACAGCAGCAACAACAGGGCACAGCAGATCAGTAACAGCAACAGCAACAGCAACAGCAACAACATTGCTAACAGCAGCAACAGCAGCAGCTCTCAGTTTACTATACCGCGCAATGGCGTTTTTATAGCTGTTAACGAATGGTCGGAGCCAGCAGCACGGAGCAGCAATAGCAACAGCAGCAGTGGCAGCAACAGCAATCGCCACAATATGCAGCACTGTGATATAACAAGCAACAATAACAATGCCAACAACAGTAGCAGCAGCAATAGCAATAGCAACAATAACAGCAGCAGCAGCAATAGCAGCAGTAGCAATAACAATTGCATTGTTAGCAATAAACTGAATCAGCAGCTATATGAGAACGAATGTGTTGCCATTGCACAGCAGCAACAACAACAACAGATGCAGCAGCAACAACTACAGCAGCAACAGCAGCAGCTTAGATCGGAGCCCATGGCACCAATTTATGCGCAGGTTAATAAACAGCACAAGCTGCACAAAAAGAAGCTTAGCAGCAATGAGACACAGCCGGCAGCAACAACAGCATTGCTGCTGGGCAACAACAATAGCAGCAGTAGTCATAGCAACAACAGCAGCTTCGATGTCAGCGATACAACAACAACAATAGCAGCAGCATCAGCAGTCGGAATGGCAACAACTAATGAGCACAGCAGCAGCAGCAATGACGCCAATTATATGGAAGCTGATGCCAGCACAACAGCAACAGCAGCAGCAGAAGCAGCTGGAGCAGCTACAAATGTTGCAACAACAACAGATTATTATCACGCATCTGAGCATTCAATATACGCCAAGGTGTGGAAAGGACCGCGCAAAACGACTGAATCCAAAATGTATGCAGCAACAATAATAATAACAATAACAACAACAACCACAACAACAACAACATAAACTACAACAACAGTAGCAACAACAACACAATTAACAAGTGCAGCCGCAACAATCGCAGCTAGCTTGACATTTGATACCCCCAGCAAGAACATATCAAATATGCTTTTATTTTAACATTGTTAATTTTCTGCTGTTTATTAATTATTGTGCACAGCTTAGTCATACGCAATTGAACCTACAGACACTCACACATGCATATATATATGTATATATATGTATACATATGTATATATGTTTGTGCGATTTCTTGATTTCGTTTATGGTCTGCGCTACGCTTGACTGTTTATACCCTAACTACAACGAGGCCAAGCTAATCGCCAGCCCAAGTTAATCAGAGTTGAGCAGAGTATCTATGTGTAGATATACCCTTAATGAATAGCAATTAATCTTATGTTATATAGATCGTATTACAAGTCTTTTTTTCCCAATTGTTTAGCATACAAAATTAAGTGAAGCAGTAATTATTTTAGTAACAATTATTTAAGTAAGCTTATGAATAGCAATTAATTAAAACAGATCGATTAATCTTCGTTAATGAAAAATGTGGACTAAGTAGTTCATTTACCTAATATTAATTATTAGATAGCTATAATTAAATAATGATAATTAAGATATTTATTAGCATTAGCTAATTAAGCAATTAATGCTAAGTAATTTAATATAATAATTTATGAATAGTTATTTATTAAGATTATTATTACCTGAGACTTAACTAATTTAAAGTAATGAATCGTAATTGAGGATTTATAAAGTTAATAATTGAGTAATGTATGTAATTAAGAGCTAGTTAATAGTAGAGTAGTTAATCTAAGTAACTAATCTAAACTAATTTGAAGTAACAAAGAGCTATTAGCTAAAGAATTTTTTGTGATATTAAATAGAGGCCGTTAATTAAATTATGTTAATCATTTTTTAAATATATTCAAATCCTAAGTAATATTTTAACATAAAGATGAATTAGTTAGTAACTAAAAATCATTAATTTAATTGAGATTTTGTAGGCTAACATAAGCTGATTTGTGTGTTACAGGGTATCTCTGTGTGCGACCCCGTCAAGCGCAAAGCTTAGCTCTAATCAGCTTTGTTACTTCTAATTGCGTGTGACTCACATTATCATTTCGTTAGCGTATTCATTGCTTCGGCTCGCTGATAACAACAAAAAAAAGGAATTTATTGTTTATTTATTCTTATTTTTTTCCATTTTTGCGAATTAAAAGGCATTCAACAGTTGCTGCAGCAGCAAAGACTGCTTCTATTTTGTTTTCGCTCTAATTTTGTAATTATTTCATTGGTTTTTCATTTCATTTGCCTGCAATTTAATTGTGCGTGAGTTTTTTTTTTATTTTTTTTTTTTTTTGCACCAATACTAACGCTCTCTCTCTCTTTCTGTTTGTTTCTGTCTCTCTCTTTCTCTTTGTTTAGCACACATGAGGCAGCAAGTGGCTTGGCGTCGACACCGGCCAGCAGCAGCAGCAGCAGCAATCGCCTCATTGTTCAACCGGCGCGCAACGACAATAAACCGCAATCGATGCTTCTGCAAGGCAGCCGCAAGATGTGGACATGCGGCAAATGTTCCTATGCCTACAATCGTCTCTGGTCCGAATCCTGTGAGATGTGCGAGACATTAGCCAAGCAGCAGCAGCAGCAGCAACAGCAGCAGCAGCACCAACAGCAGCAGCTGCAGCTGCATCAGGCGGAGCTACCAGCAGCCAGTAAGTGCTTACAATGTGATTGACGGATTGATTGAGATGACTGATCAACTCAGACATGTGTGGTTGATTGATGAACTGATGGAATCAGAGCGTTGGGGCTTGACAGATATAGCCTGATTCCCATTGCTATTAATGCACTGAGCGATTGAGCAACTGATTGACTGACTGACAGACTGACGACAGAAATGGTGATGACTAAATGCCGGACGAACTGCATGAATGATTGATTGACGGCTAATATGATTGACAGACATTGATAGACTACTAACTGATGAGCTGATTGATTGTTTGACGGATTGACCTACTGCTTGATTGAACAATTAACTGCTTTAAGCCTGGATTGATCTGAATGAATGAATATACCTGTTGACTGATGAATCGATTAAATGATTCATGATTGATTGATCTCTCCTCCTGCCCACCTTTGCAGTTGCTGTGGAGCCACGCAACGATGAGCCCTGGACATGCAAGAAGTGCACCCTGGTCAACTACTCAACGGCGATGGCCTGCATCGTCTGCGGCGGCTCCAAGCTGAAGAGCATCTCCTCGATCGAGGACATGACACTCCGCAAAGGTGAATTCTGGACCTGCAGCCATTGCACGCTGAAGAATTCGCTCTCCGTCGGCTTGTGCAGCGCATGCAAATCGATGCGTTTGCTGCCAGTCGATTCGATACGCGAACGACCCGATGGCCAGTCCTATGAGGAGCAGGATCCAGCGGCTGGCAGTCAGACTGCGGGTGAACTGAATACGCCGACGGCGACGCCAACGCAGCTGCAATTGCCGCCAGTGGCGCATCGTAATTCTCGCAGCCCCTCGCCCAGATCGGCAGCGGGAGCAGCCGCTGCAGTGGGCGGGCCAACGGCAGGAGTGGCGGCAGCATCCGCAGCCGCCGCAGCAGCAGCAGCGGCTGCCATCCAGCTGCAACAGCAACAGCAGCGCAGCTCCTCGGGCGCCATACCGAAGCGTCACAGCACCGGCGGCTCAATAGTGCCACGGAACATATCGATGGCCATGCCTGCTCCCACAGCCAGCTCATCCTACAATCTGCAGCAGCAGCAGCAGCAGCAACAGCTGATCCTGCCGGGCAGTTCGATCAAGAAATGGCAGTGTCCCGCCTGCACCTATGAGAACTGCGCCGCATCCGTCGTCTGTGACATTTGTTCGAGCCCGCGCGGCCTGATGCAGGCGGTGCTCAGCGAAGCGCTGGCCCGCAAATCGATGCGCATCACGGCGCTGGGCACCGAAATACGCCAGGAGAGCAAACTAATGGAGAATCTGCGCCAGCTGGAGGAGACAGAGGCACTAACCAAATGGCAGAATATCATACAATATTGCCGGGACAACAATGAGCTGTTCGTCGACGATTCGTTTCCGCCGGCCCCGAAGAGCTTGTACTACAATCCGGCGAGCAGTGTGACCGATGGCGGCAACCCGGTGGTGCAATGGCGTCGCCCACACGAAATCAATTGCGATGGCGGCGCATATCCACCGTGGGCCGTGTTCCGTACACCGTTGCCCTCGGACATCTGTCAGGGTGTCCTGGGCAATTGCTGGCTCCTGAGCGCCCTGGCTGTGCTGGCGGAGCGCGAGGATCTGGTAAAGGAGGTGCTGGTTACCAAAGAGATCTGTGCCCAGGGCGCCTACCAGGTGCGCCTCTGCAAGGATGGCAAATGGACCACAGTGCTGGTGGATGATCTGTTGCCGTGCGACAAGCGCGGTCACCTCGTCTACTCGCAGGCCAAGCGCAAGCAGCTCTGGGTGCCGCTCATTGAGAAGGCAGTGGCCAAGATTCATGGCTGCTACGAGGCACTCGTCTCCGGACGGGCCATCGAGGGCCTGGCCACGCTGACGGGCGCACCCTGCGAGAGTATACCGCTCCAGGCCAGCTCACTGCCGATGCCCAGCGAGGATGAGCTGGACAAGGATTTGATATGGGCTCAGCTGCTGAGCTCGCGCTGTGTACGCTTCCTGATGGGCGCCAGTTGTGGCGGCGGCAACATGAAAGTGGATGAGGAGGAATATCAGCACAAGGGTTTGCGTCCACGGCACGCCTACTCGGTGCTGGATGTTAAGGATATACAGGGACATCGATTGCTGAAATTACGCAATCCCTGGGGCCATTATTCGTGGCGCGGCGATTGGTCCGACGACTCGGGCTTGTGGACGGATGATTTGCGCGATGCCCTAATGCCGCATGGCGCCTCTGAAGGCGTCTTCTGGATCTCGTTCGAGGATGTGCTTAACTATTTCGATTGCATTGACATATGCAAAGTGCGCTCCGGCTGGAACGAGGTGCGTCTGCAGGGCACTCTGCAGCCCCTCTGTTCCATTTCATGTGTCCTGCTCACCGTGCTGGAGCCCACCGAAGCGGAGTTCACGCTCTTCCAGGAGGGTCAACGCAACTCGGAGAAATCACAGCGCTCCCAATTGGATCTCTGCGTTGTCATCTTTCGCACACGTTCACCGGCAGCGCCAGAGATTGGACGACTGGTCGAGCATAGCAAGCGACAGGTACTGAATATGCCCTGATCCTAAAGCTTAACCTCAAGCTGGAGCTCTGCTCAATCTTTGCCCTCAGTCTCTACAGCTACCTCATTCATTTGATATTCGTTTGCAGGTGCGCGGCTTTGTCGGCTGTCACAAAATGCTGGAGCGGGATATCTATTTACTAGTGTGTCTGGCCTTCAATCACTGGCACACGGGCATCGAGGATCCCCATCAGTATCCACAATGCATATTGGCCATACACAGCTCCAAGCGTTTGCTGGTGGAGCAAATAACGCCTTCGCCCCATTTGCTGGCGGATGCGATCATTAGCTTAACCCTGACCAAGGGCCAAAGGCATGAGGGACGCGAAGGCATGACGGCCTACTATTTGACCAAGGTATGCAGAGTGAGACGATTTGTCTAGACTATTAAACTAACTGCCGTCTACCCAATTCAAGGGCTGGGCTGGATTGGTGGTCATGGTCGAGAATCGGCATGAGAATAAGTGGATACACGTCAAGTGCGACTGCCAGGAGAGCTATAATGTGGTCTCAACGCGCGGTGAACTCAAAACTGTGGATTCTGTGCCGCCGCTGCAAAGGTAAGGGGAGAATATACCCTGTAAATATTTGAAAAGTTCAGGGTATTTGTAAGCATATCTAATGATTCTTTGATTTCGCTTCCAAATAGGCAGGTGATCATTGTGCTCACCCAACTGGAGGGCAGCGGCGGCTTCAGCATTGCCCATCGGTTAACGCATCGTTTGGCCAATTCGCGTGGCCTTCACGATTGGGGTCCGCCGGGCGCCACCCACTGTCCGCCCATTGAAAATGTGCACGGGCTGCATGCGCCGCGCTTGATAACATAATCGATCACTACAATGGAGGAGGAGTGGCATTAGTTCAAAACAAAAGCATAAAACAAAAACACAATATATATATATTTATATTTATATGTATGTATCTATGTGTATTCCTTTCGCCGTTTGCCATAATTTTGAATTTAAGTTGATTTTCCTATTATTTTTCGAGTATTTTTGCATATTCTAGTCGATGTTTTGTCACTCATACATATAGATATACATATTATATATAAATATATATTATATGTTTATATATATATACTAAAAAAAGGAAATAAATGTGAATTATATAGTTAAAAAAAAAACAAATTGATCCTTTTAATTTCAATCATATTTTGAATCAAATGTGAATATTTAAATGAATACTTTCGGATATATATATAAATGTATGTACATTCAAATCTAACGGAACTTTGAAACTGCTAACGTATGCTTAGAATACACATTGCTTCTCTTAGTTTAAACAACTTAATTAATATTCAATAATCTAAAATTGAATTAGTGGCTATTTTTTATATAAATTAAAATATGGATTATTTACACTACACTACATTGATATAAATTTAATATTAATTTAATTTGATCTGTTTAAGGCTGCCACAGTTTCAGATTTTCAATCTACAGCGCAGAGCTGCCAACTTGCATTATTATTGCACAAACAAAAATAAAAGATACAATATCTTAAACCGCTTCGACTATGTAAGTATTTTCGATTACTTTCGATATAATTTGGTGAATTTCGTATGGGTACTAGCGGGTCACACTGTGCGCCATTCAGTGTGTGTTGGTTCTAGTTCATTTCAGTTCATGAGCAACATATTTTGTTCGTCATTTAATTTTTGTTTTTTTAATATGGCTGATACAAAGGGTGTAAGTAATATTTACCGAATTCCACAAATACTTAATGCACAATTGCAAAAGTGTGTGCACTGTATAATATACGCGAATACTAAGTAATGCCATATAGGGCGCGGTTTGACTGAGCGTTTCAATCCCCGCTCGCGACGACGATGGCGTTCTTGTTTTGTATATGTGTGTTTGCGGCTTATCATGCAAATTCCTCATGTTAATAGTGTGCAATATGCAATTTGCTGTTGCAGCAAATCCACATCAGCTGAAATATTCACCATTGCTCATGTATATGTTTTGTGTGTATTGTGTGTGAGTTCATTTCAATTAATCGTCGCTTAACAGTCAAAATTGGTTCATCCAAAAAGTGCATGATTCATTAAAGCCGGCATATAAAAAAGGCGTCGCCGTCATCTGAATTATCTTCCTTTGTTGCGGCCTGTGACCTACATAATGCAAATGCATATGTATGTGAAAGCATATGTACACGCTGATCACAATGTCAATGGCTTTAAGTACTGTTTTGTACTTGCACAGCGATATACATATGAAAAATTATAAATATGTGCGTGTACTTATCAGCACATGTTTATGTGTTTGTACACAGCTTAGGCATGCAAGAGAAACTCGCGCGTGTCTGGCATTTCAAAATAACGCCGCCACTTTCTTTGAGCTAGGCTTCGATGTCTGCCGGCCCCCCGCAGACACGAACTGCACAGTTATGGATAGAGATGGGTGCGTGTCAAATATTTTCCAACAAGACTCGGCACGAGCATGACGACAAGCAACAAGACACATATTCCTATCTTTTTAAAATCATTAAATGATCCTATTTTAAAATTAAAAGAAAAATATATTTAAAAAAAAAAAAAAAAAAAAACTTAGAAAAATGAAAATAGAAGACAGAATGTTTTTTTTTTTTTTTTAATATTTTATGTGACAAAAAAAAAATCATTCTGTCTTCATTTTATCAATAAGTGGGAATGTATTTCATTACTTTTAATATAAATAAATTCAAAGATCATGTAAGCCAAATTATATCAATCAATCGGTTATAAATACTGTGCAAATATATCGTATTGTGTCACGCGCGCAGCTCTAGTCATGCTTGGCTTGCAAGTGCATAAGAGAGGGAGAACGAAGGAATAAGAGAGCAATTACAGCAAATAGATAAGCAACTGATGACTCAACCATATTTTAATAAATATTTAAATTGATTTTAATTATTGCTTCTGTCTGCGCTGCAGTTTTCGAGCATTGAGACACCCGGCTATGTGGGCTTTGCCAATTTGCCCAATCAAGTGCATCGCAAGTCCGTGAAAAAAGGCTTCGAGTTTACGCTAATGGTTGTCGGCGAATCGGGCTTGGGTAAATCGACGTTGGTAAACAGTTTATTCCTCACCGATTTATATCCGGAACGCATTATACCTGACGCCATAGGTAAGCAATATATGAATATATTTATGAGGGTATATGGGTAATTACTTATTAAATGATTCGTGTTAAACAGAAAAACAAAAGCAAACTGTAAAGCTGGAGGCATCGACCGTGGAAATTGAGGAGCGGGGCGTTAAGCTTCGTCTAACGGTAGTCGATACACCTGGCTTTGGCGATGCCATCGATAATTCAAATAGTTTTAACGCCATATTCGAATACATAGATGAGCAATACGAACGCTTTCTCCAGGATGAAAGCGGACTGAATCGTCGCAATATTGTGGACAATCGCATACATTGTTGCTTCTACTTCATATCGCCATTCGGACATGGGTAAGTCACTGCTAGTATAAGTCTAGTTTTTTTAGAAATTCATATTCAATTATGTTTTATAGTCTTAAGCCTCTCGATGTGGAATTCATGAAGAAACTGCACTCGAAGGTGAACATTGTGCCTGTAATTGCCAAAGCCGATTGCTTAACAAAGAAGGAGATATTGCGTTTGAAATGCCGCATAATGCAGGAGATTGAGAGCCATGGCATTAAAATATATCCACTGCCCGACTGTGATTCAGATGAGGATGAAGACTACAAGGAGCAAGTGAAACAATTGAAGGAAGCTGTGCCTTTCGCCGTCTGCGGCGCTAATACTCTGCTCGAAGTGAAGGGAAAAAAGGTGCGCGGCCGCCTCTATCCATGGGGTGTTGTTGAGGTTGAGAATCCTGAACATTGTGATTTTATAAAACTGCGCACCATGCTCATCACACACATGCAGGACCTCCAAGAGGTTACCCAAGAGGTGCACTATGAAAACTATCGTTCCGATCGCCTTGCCAAGGGCATCAAAGGAAAAGAGAATGGCATCAAATCAGATCGCATTGATACGAATGGTTCGACACAGGTGGGCGTAAATAGTGTTCTATCCGAGAAGGATCGCATACTGCAAGAGAAGGAGGCAGAGCTGCGTCGCATGCAGGAGATGCTGGCACAAATGCAGGCACGTATGCAGGCACAAAAGTGAGCAGCTTAAACAGAAGATGAGATGATAGAGCGTAGCACGTATTGTGCAATCTACACACACACACACACACACACACACATGCATACCTTTTTTTTAGATACATATATATATATTTTGTACGCAGTTTTTAAGTTGCGATTGCGATCGCTAGTCTATTTGCTTAGTTATGCATTTTACACACACAAACACGAATATATTTATATATGTATATTTATTGATATATATCTGTGTCAGACATATATACATATATATATGTACTATATTTGTAATCTGCAATTGCCACAAGCAACTTGCAAAATATGCTCCAATTTAAAACTGGAATATTCAATCTCAAGGTATTTGAACCACACACACACACACACACACACACACAAACATATTTACACACATCCACACACTTCATATCACTCCTAAGATAAAAGATCAAGAAATGAACATGATTAACAAACTGTATTCCTATTATATATTTAGACGCAAATGTCTTCGATATTACAAATTTCAATTATGTGTAATTTTTTTTTTAATTATATATGTACGCTGTAACGCATTTAAGCTTAAGTTAAAAGAAAACAAACAAATTCTGCCGATGTTAAAATAATTGATCTGTTTATTAGTCTCGAAGAAAGTAAGAGAAGAAAAAATGATAATGATGAATGATCTGTTGATCAACTGCAACCGTGTTATATTAAAACTTTTCAATTACTTAATTATTTGAAAAGTGCGTAAAATGTTTATTCATAACTAAAGTTAAGTAAATTCAGTTGAGCGTTAAACTATTGAGCTAATATATATAAACTATCTATATATATCAACTTACTCTATCGTATGTACATTCATTTTGTATTTTTATCGTGTATACTTTAAATATTTTATGTATTATGTATTAAATTTTTACTTACATGTAAAATCCACAATATGCAATTGCTTAATAATTTTAAAGCTCAAGCTAAACCGAATCCTTATTGTCCTGTATATGAACAATTTGAATCTTTAACATATTCCTCTATAAATATATATATTATATGCTTTTTATACAATTTCTAAAAATATTTGCGTACACAAATTATTTCGAAGTCTTGGTTTTTTAGGTAATTTAAATGGACCTTAAATTTGTAAACACATTCAATTCGTTCATTCTTTAAGTCCAAAATCAATTAGTCACAACAGAGCTCTTAATAATAATTGAAGATTACTATTCTTTGTCGCTGACCCTTAGTACCTTTAACTAATAAATATTTAATTTAAACTTAATATGGTCAAACGGCAGACGGCGTTGCCACCTATGTTTAAAAATACTAAATCATCTCTATTGTGAATGTAGTGCAGTTGCATATGCTGAGCTGCTTATCAGTCGTGTTTAAAATAAGTTGGCAGCCTCTGCCTTCAACTCACATGTTGTGCGGTAACATCTACAGAATATGCCGGCATATTTCTCATTGAAAGGAAAACAAAATAAAATGTGTTGTAATTAGGAAAACACAACAAAATGTACAAAACAATATGCCACACGTTGATGCGAACAACTGGCCCGGGCACATGGAAGCGCCGCACACTATTCACGACCTTCGTTCGCTTGGAGAGCAAAGCCGATGCAAAGGCGAAGGGCACAGAAGCAGAGGGAGTATCCCATTTATCACAGGATGCGTTGCTCCAGGAGTTCAGTCGAATGCCTGTCAAGCGTATACGAAACTTTAGTATAATTGCGCACGTGGACCATGGCAAGAGCACTCTAGCCGATCGTGTGCTGGAGCTGACGGGTGCAATTGCTCGCAATGCTGGACAAAATCAGGTGCTCGATAGTCTGCAGGTGGAGAGAGAGCGCGGCATCACAGTCAAAGCACAAACGGCTTCCATATTCTATCAGTATAAGAAGGAGCTATATTTGCTGAACCTAATTGATACGCCTGGCCATGTGGACTTCTCCAATGAGGTGCGTTGTGGCTTTGGATATGTTGAATGATGGGATTTATATGATTTCATCTTGCAGGTCTCTCGCTCGTTGGCCGCATGCGATGGTGTTATTCTCCTCGTAGATGCATGCCACGGCGTGCAAGCGCAAACTGTGGCCAACTTCCATCTGGCCAAGCAGCGACAGCTGGCCGTTGTGCCGGTGCTGAATAAGATAGATATCAAGCATGCTCAGCCCGATCAGGTGGCTAAGGATATGCAATTATTATTTGGAATTGATCCAGACAGCGTCTTGCGTGTTTCAGCTAAACTAGGCACAGGAGTTGCCCAAGTACTGGAGCGTGTCATTGAGACAATCCCCCCGCCGAATGTTGACCGAGAGAGCGCATTTCGTGCGCTAATCTTCGACAGCTGGTTCGACAAATATCGCGGGGCACTGAATCTCATTTATGTGCTAAACGGTCAGCTAAATGTGGGCCAGGAAATACAGTCGCTGGCCACAAAAAAAATGTATCCCGTGAAAAGTTTGTCCGTACTCCGTCCAGCTGAGTCCGCCGTAGAGAGTTTGTTGGCTGGCCAGGTGGGCCTCGTTGGTTGCAATATGCGCAACAGCAAGGAGTCCATCATTGGAGACACCATACATCTAAAGCACCAAACGGCTGAGGCTGCTGGCAGCTATCGACCCCAGCAACCCATCGTATTTGCAGGCGTCTTCCCTGCGGATCAGTCCAAACACGTCGCCCTGCGCAGCGCCATTGATAAAATGGTACTTAACGATTCGGCGGTTACGGTCAGTGTGGACTCTAGTCCAGCACTGGGCCAGGGTTGGCGTCTCGGCTTTCTCGGTCTGCTGCACATGGAGGTTTTCTGTCAACGGCTGGAGCAGGAGCATGGCGCTGAGCCCATTATAACAGCCCCCTCCGTAACATATCGTATCGTTTTACGCAATCCGAAGTTGATCAAGCAGCACGGCAGGAACACGCTGGATATATCGAATGCAGCATTGCTGCCCGAACCGACCAACATTGAGGAGTACTACGAGCCACTTGTCCTGGGCACCATTATAACGCCCACTGAGTATGTGGGTCAGATAATTGGATTGTGTGTGGAGCGACGCGGCCTGCAGCAGAGCTCTGTTAATATCGATGAATCGCGCATACTGATGAAGTATGTCCTGCCGTTAAGCGAAATCATATTGGACTTCCACGATCGCCTTAAATCCCTTAGCTCTGGCTATGCCAGCTTCAGCTACGAGGATCATGGCTATCATCTTACTCAACTTGTTCGTCTTGATATACATTTGAATGGGCGGCCCATCGAGGAATTGTGCCGCATCGTGCATGTCAGCAAGGCCACAGGTGTGGCTCGTCAAATGGTGCACAAGCTTAAAGATCTCATACCCAAGCAGATGGTACAGATTGCCATACAAGCGTGCGTGGGCAGCAAAGTGCTTGCGCGTGAGACTATTAAAGCCTATCGGAAGGATGTAACGGCAAAGCTGGTAAGTTGCCAGACTCTTATAACAAATTAAGCAAAACTTTGACTATATTTATCGATAGTATGGCGGCGACGTAACACGGCGGATGAAGCTGCTGAAACAACAGGCCGAGGGCAAAAAGAAGATGCGCATGTTTGCCAATATTCGCGTTCCTCACGAAACGTTTATCGATGTGCTCAAACGCTAAACGCATGTGAATTGCATTTTGGGTGAGTGAGATAGGATGCTGATGCTGTTGCAGTAGCTGGTGCTACTGCTGCTCAAGTGTTATCGATATCATTAATTTATATTTTTACTGGCATTCCCGCTCGCTTATCGCTGCCAAAACAAATTATACTACCAAACGCTTACTTCCTCTCTCTTTCTCCCTTTTGTCTCGAGTCGATCACACTGGCCGTCTTATATTTTTGTATGCTCTTTGTCTTGAAATAAAAATAAAAACAACATGAAAGCATAGAAACTTGTATGCGTGAGTAGCGTACACATATGTACATTCAATTGTATACATGATTATGCAGATGTGTATCAAACATACGCAAATATATACATATGTATGTGTGTGTGAGCACATCAGATTTTTAATGCACTCACATTGATATAAACATTTCTACAAATATGTACATACATACGTTTGTATGCATAAAGAGACATTTATGTGAATATGACATACATATATGTACATACATATGTATGTATATGTATGCAAGTAAATGCCCTTTCTAGACTTTGCACTGCCTCAATTTTTCCATTGCTGAACCAATATTCATTAGTTATTATTTACAAATATATTTAAATTTATAAATTTCTTTGGTTAGTTTAATTTGAGCTCATTTCATAGATAAATCGGGCTATTAAAAATAAAATATTTGAATGCACAATTAGAATTGAGGCACACCTTTCCAACAATATAAGGGATCCAAAAATCGTTTGATTTGGTAACGCTAGTGATAAAACTGCAGAGACTTCAGCAATTTTGTAATGTCATTTAATTTTCCATTTTAGTGTACAAAAGTAGAATTATTCAATGAACAACTCGATATGTGATTTAGGGTGTTTAATAGTCGAGCACTTATTGCTTATTTCGTATTCTATAAAATTTACAACCTGTGTACTTAGAACAGTTCGTTAACTTTTGCGTTATTCGAGTGTCATTTGTGATTGTTCTATCATTGTCTTTAATTGGCGACGACAAAAAAATCGAATTTCCCTGGCCCTGAAAACTAGCACGCATACGCATACATTTAATGCATAACGGTATCCTACCGTAGACTGCCTCTACAAACAAAAACGCAGACACGCATACACACAAATACACATGAATATAAAAATATATGTATGTATGTATATGGTATATGAGATAGCAAGTTTGAACGCTTGTGTCTTGCTCCCGGCAAGTTTTGTTTGTGAGAGCGCAACAATCGAAGCGAAAACGCGAATGCATGAGAGAGGAACGGTATAAGACACAAACAATTGAACTCAACTGATGATGACCGGTGGGTGTTGGGGATATTGCGGTGTGTACATGTGTGTGTGACCTTGAAAAACAATAACATAGTTGTTGCGGTTGCTGCCGCTCTGCTTTGGTGTAGGCAACGCTGGGCAAATGCAAATGCAAACAAACCGAGCAAAAATTGTTAAAATTGATTATGCAATAGCAGAAGCTTCCGATTTGCCAAAAAGTCAAAAGGGAAAGAGCATTAAACACATACATTCATATATTCATACGTTAATATACACTCAAAAACCCCTGTGTTGTATATACTTGTTGCAATATATCCAAGTATTTATGTATGTATGTATGTATGTAAATACCTATATTGCATCTAAAAGAAAACCCGCAATACGTCTGTCTTATTATTTTGTTTATGGAGAACAACAAATTCTTCCTGTTTCCTTAAATTTACATATGAAAATCAGCTGTACACGATTTTCCATCAACAACATCTCGAAGAAGAAGAGAAAGAACAGCAGTAACAGACAGTCAAACAGCTGAGTCTGAGCCCCACACGCAAGTGCCAGAGAGTCGCTAGCAACAAGAACAGTGTGTGAGAGAGAGAGAGAGAGAAAAAAATAGTCTCCGGGCTTATTTGTCTGTGCGATTGTACTAGGCGCACAAACACACGAGCAAAGCCAAAAACAACAAAAAATAAATACATTTTCGTTGTTTTTTCCGTTGCTGTTGCTGCTGCGCTCAATTGAACGAAACAGAGGCAACGACAACGACAACGACGACCGTTTCTCTGCCGCCGTCGCCGTCGTTGTCGTCGTCGATGCCACTGTCCGTACAACACACAAAAACAGTCAGTTTTCATTCTCATTTGACATCATCAACATTGAAATTAAATTAAACAAGAGCAGTACGAGTTTGATTGCGATTTCGATTCACCGATTAATTATTGGTGAAATTCAAAGTAAATTTATTTTAGAGATGCAAATTTTTAAATGGTGTTTTAATTAATGCGCCGATCTGATGTTTAAGTTTTCATTTAACAAAACGCAAAAAAAGACTCAACGACATTTTGTTTTTCATTTCGCTTTGCCGTTTTTATTTGCAAAATAATCAACGCGAACAAAATAACAAACGTCATCAGCTGTTCTGTGCGAGTGTGTGTGTCCGTGTGTATGCTTAAGTTGCTTCCACATATGTATGTGTGTGTGTGTACGTACGCATATACATATGTATGTATGTAAATATGGAACTGTATGTATATACACTTATATATCTATAACTGTATTTTGCGCTTTGCTTTTAAATTAAAGTGTTAAAAAGCCGTATAAAATATTACAGGAAATATATGTACATATATGTATAAAAATTGTTGCACTTAGGAAGGCTCTCAGCCTCTTACGCCCCCTTAACATTTAGCTACGTGAAACATAACCTAGAAGCGCATTTAGAACGAGAACTTGTTTGAAGGTTACGACGCGGCGCCACGAAACACCCCCAATCCTCCCGTTTGGGAACGTCCCATCAATGGTTGCTCCGACAACGCTTTGGCCTTGACCGTGTACAAACCAACAACAACAACAAACACATAAAGCAACGGTGTAACAGCTGACAGCTGTGCACTGCGGCTGCACTTTTGACAGTGCAAGTGCGTCAAGTGGCAACGCTGTTTAGATGGAGATGGAAGCCCAAGTGAAATACACACAAATACTTGCCGTCCGCACAGCAGCGCTTCAAGCGCAGTACGTCTCTTGCATACACACACAAAACAATCAAGTTCAAAGTAATCGCAACGAAAACGAAAAAGGCAAATCAACGGCATCGGCATCTCCCGCACACACATATAGGAACTGCGCGCATTCGCACTCTCGCTCTCACATACACACATATGCTCACACAGCTGTACACGTAGCAGTGCTCACAGTGGCTTTTTTTTCCTTTTTTGTTTTTATTATATGAAATCCGACGGTAGCCAGGCAATCACATAAAAGAAATACCACAAAATATAGTTAGCAAATTGTGCAATAGTCATAGAATAAACAAAAGTGAGCAATAAACTAAAAAATGCAACCAATGTTAATAATTAATAATTAACATGTGTTAAGCACCAGCCTCAAATTCAACTTAACAGTTATTCGCAATAATTGGCTAGCTGGCAGCGAGTGTTTGATATTGTTGTCAGTGTTGAAAAATATTTAATGCAATTGGAAACTTCGGTTTTCGCGCTGCGTAGTTGTATTTTTGCTGTTTTTCCCCGTTCTCGATTATTTTTTTTTACAAATTGTGTGTATCGTTTGTGTGTACGTTTATATATATATTTATGTGTGTTTTATTTATGCAAGTAAGCCTTAAATATTTGAATGTTCATACATAGGTCTGGCATTTTCGATTGTTTGTCCGTGTGCCAGTTACATACATACATACATATAAACGCACGTCCATGTAGATAAATATAATGCTGCTTTGTTCATGCATACATGTTTACATTCATATATTGCTTAAAGTTTGCAACGAAAGAGAGAGTGAGAGTTAATTAAATTTATATCAATATCGAGTGATCAACAATTTTTTTCGACGTTTGATTTTGTTGCTGTATTTTTCATAATATTTAATGAAAACCTAAAATGTTTGTGTGTGTGTGTTTGTGTTATTTTTGTTTTGCGACTAACGGGCGCGTCAGTGCCAATGGCAAATACACACACACGCTTATATTTATGCATGTTCATGTCAAACGTCACACAGCTGATAGGTGTTGTTAGTGGTTGGCGCACACGCACAACCACAAAGCTAACGAACGCTTGCAAATATCATATGAGTGCTTACTCTTGCGCTACCATTCACTCTCTCGGTCTCGCTCTCTATCGTACGTATGCCACCCACTCTAGGTATTTTATTTTGTAAACAACTGAGAAAAGCGCGACCAGTGCTGCCAGATATGAAACAATTTTAAGCTATATTGGTAGCGCTGTCATATGTGCGCACACGTATACAATATCGCAAGCATACACACACATGCACTCGTAAACTAACACTGTGACATGCATTTGTGAAATTCCTATTTAAATTATTGCTTATATTTGGATCTCTTTTTGCAGGCGCAGCAATACCAAAAAATAAATAAATAGTCCATGCAATTAAGAAGGACGCGAAGCGGCGCGTTTTATTTTACATAAACAATGATCAACAGTTTTAGTGTGGCAGGTACGGGCGTAAGTGCTGCGGCTGCTGCTGCGACTAAGCTACATTTCAATTGCAACAACAAGAACAATAATAACAACAACAACAGTAGTAAAATTATGCCAGCAGCAACAAATGAGCACAAAAGTCACAATTTAATCAACAGTGCCACCACAGCAACAACAGCAGGAGCAGCAGCAACAATAACAACAATTACAACGACAGCTGCAGCAACAACTACCACTCCGAAGAAGTTTAAAATAACATACAACGAAGTTGATACAAAGCATTATTTAATGAATTTACCACATTATTTAATGGCGTATCCACAGCACCAGCAGCAGCAACAAGAGCAGCAGCAACAAAAGCGAAACGCCGTACTCATTTTGCCTGGCAAAGCAAATACCTCATCAACAATCACCAAAGATTCGCAGTTAAAACATGTCAATCTACAGTCCAACAGCAACAACAACATGCAGCAAAAGATTGCAACAACAACAACAGCATTAGCCAAAAGTGTCTTAGATGGCTGGACAATGCCACAGCAGCAACAACAACAACAACCACAAAGAACTGAAGACCAAGAAAATGCCTTTCGTCAAATCGAAGATGTGCATAATTATGCCAAGCTGCAGCATCAGCAACAGTATCATCACAATCATCACCAGCCACAACATCCGCATCTGCACAGTAGCAGCAGCGATGAACTGGAAGATGATGAAGAGGAAGATTTCGATGATGCTGATGACGATGAAGATGACGGGGAGGGTGCGCGCGTGGATCAGATAGCGAAAGTGCATAAGTTAAGGAAGCAAAGCCGTGTAAATGTGCCTAATAATCTAAATGATGACGATTCCGAGGAGCATGTGGAAGTGGATGTTGTAACTGTAACACCAACATCAACTGCAGCCACGACAGTCGCAGCAGTGGCTGCAACAGCAACAGGAGCAACAACAGTAGCAGCGGCATCAGCAGTAGAGGAACAGGAATCGGAGCAGCAACAGTTGCCATCAAAGGCCGATCAAGATAATCTGCGACCAGCGCATCATGCACGTCGACCCATGAACGCATTTCTTATATTTTGTAAAAGGCATCGCGCCATTGTCAAGGAGCGCTACAAGTCATTGGAAAATCGGTAAATGTGGCCATGATAAAAGTACCTGAACATAAAAAATAACTAAACATTTGTAATACATTCAACAGGGCAATTACGAAAATACTTGGTGACTGGTGGGCCGCATTGGATGAGCATGAGAAGCAGTGCTTTACCGATCTGGCGCAACAGGTGAGCAATTCAATAAACTGCACAGCAATATATTAAATTTTACTGCTCTTATTTTTCCTCTAATTCCTCAGCTCCTTTTCGAGCTTAGCTGAAATGTCTGGCAGCTTTAATTTGAATTCCAATTTAAATTCCAAGATCTGGCAACATTCGAATTCAAATTGCAATTCGAATTGTGCATAGAAATTTGCGGAAAACAGCTCAACCTGTCTCTTTCCTTTGTCTCGTGTAATTTTGTTACATTTAATATATTACGCTTAACTAATTTAAGCATACTAAAGCTTGATAAGATATACATCCCAGTTCAATTTATCGATAAAAAAGTCGATAATTCGATATTGTATCATTAGGCAAACGGTCTGGCAACCTATTGAAAATTCCAATTGCAATTTGAATTTATGCAATCAAAAAAACAGAAGGGTCTTATAATTATATGTATATGTTAAATCTTATTAAATCATATGGCAAATGCAGAAATTACATTGGCTTTATATCTGAGGGCCTAAGCTTGAAATAGAGATTTAAATTTGATTAAGAATATGTATTGCTTTCTCACTCTGTTGCTCTCCCTGTCTTTCTGGTTTGCTGATAATTTAATTTGACATTATTTTGAAATGTTTTCAGAATAAAGATGCCTTCTTCAATGCCAATCCTAATTTTAAATGGTACAAACTGCCCGCTCCGCCATTGCGTACGCTAGCCACACGTCCCAGCAATGCGGCAAGTGGACATCCAAATGAGGAGCAGCAGCAACAACAACAACAACAGCAGCAGCAGCCGCCTCTTCACTGGCAGCCCACGGAAGTAGCACACATGTTGCGTCGCGATCTATTCAAGTTCGCAGATGAGACTCAAATGGGCGAGCTGAGCGCTTTGCTGAGCAGCAATACGAGCAATGTTCAGGATAAGGATTATGAGCTGCAGCAGGCGCTCAGCGAAACGACGCAGTTCATGAGCGCGCATATGCCCGGCAACAACAATAATAATAACAACAACAATAGCAACATTAATATTAACAGTAAACGTTCAGCGGATAGCACGAGCAATTCGAGCGAGGAAGAGGATCGAAGCGCAGGCATACCCTCCAAGAAGCTGAAATCGTCACGCAGCTGCAAGGGCAAAATCTATCAGGAGCTATTCAATTCGGGCCAACTGGCGGCTATAGCCAAGAAGAGCAAATGTCGTTTGAACAGCGGCGGCAGCAACAATAGCAACAGTAACAGCAATAGCAACAGCATCACCGATGGCAACAGCAACACGCCGCCTATATCACCAACAACTGCAGCAACAGCAGCAACAGTTACAGCTGATGGCCAACTGTTGCAGCTGGATGGAACAATGCGTGGCACGTCCAACAGGCACGCCAATTGCGATGCCCAAGAGTTTGATTTAGAGGAGAAGATCAAGGAGCTGCCAGCTCTTAGCCTGGATGCGTATTTGCAGCGCAAGAGAAGCACCAAAAAGAAGAAGAAATTCAGCAGCAGCAAAAAACAGCGCAACAGCAACAGTAGCAGCAACCACAGCAACAGCACACCACCAGCAGCAACAACAGCTGGCACTGCAACAGGAGCGACAGCAACAGCTGCAGCTGCAACAGTTGGCATGGCGGCAGCAACAACAGCAGCAGCAGCAGCTGCTGCTGCTGTGGGCAGCCAGAAGAGAAAAGCTCGCAAGGAGAGCATTACGCGTCGCGATGTCAGCGCCATCGAGCAGGAGGTGGCCTCCATATTGCCGCTGACCATCAATGGCTGTTATTACTTTAATCAAACGCGTGCCCAGCCCGCAACAACAACTGCAGCGGCAACTGTGTCATCAGCAATGCCAACTGTAGCAACAGCAGCAACAACAACTGTTGCCGCCTCGCCACTGTCCTCGTCTTCGTCGTCAACATTTTCTGCTTATGAGCAGATCGGCTACGATGTGACCACTACCTCAGATCTACTCATCCTGGCCGAAGTGGCCGCCCATCGCACAGAGCTGACCAAAATCAACTAGCAGCAGTAACTACTGTAGAAGCAGAGCAACAGATGTAGCAGCAACTGTTGCAGTGAGGACAGCAACCTCTTAACTGTTAAATCAGGTCGCAGCAGAAGGCATTTTGTTGTGACTGTACTTATGCATAGTTATACATAGGGCCATTGACAACTAATTAGACACAACAAAACTAAATGGGTTTATTTTGCATAAAATTTTAACATTTTAGATGCAACTTTAAAAAACAAATAAGCAATTGTTGCTAAAGAGCTAATAATGATATACATATGTATATATATATGCAATCGACTTAAGATCATGTCAAAAATGTTCAAAAATTCTGAAACCTTAATGCACAGTTTGACATTCAATGCCGACTTGCAGTTTTAAAGTCATATTTCAAATTCTGTTTCTATTTTGGCTGCTTTCATCACTGCAAACAGGATATTTTGCAGTCGGGGAGGTAAGCTAAAATTAAAAAAAAAAAAAAAAAAAAAAAAAAAAAAAAAAAAAAAAAAAAAAAAA